TTACGTTTTATATAAAAGTTTATATAAATTATATACAGTAAAACCTGTCTATGGCGACCACCCACGGTTCCTTCAAAAAGTGGTCTTTTAGACAGGTGGTCATTTAATACAGGTAACTTATTATGTAAATTGAAAATTCCGTGCCAGAAATTTTTGCCCGTTTTGACAGGTGCCCGTCCAATGCAGGTGGTCGCCTAAGCAGTTTTCACTGTATATGGATATGCTCTGATTTTTTATTATTATTATTATAATTATTTCAATTTATATTTTATTCACTATAATGTCATTAATTAAAAACTATGATATTACAGAGAAAAATGTTTGAATATAAAAAATACTGAATAATACAATCCTTTATATCTATATTTGATACCTTTTGTAGTTTATATTAAAGAATAAAATAAATTTTTAAATTAAAGATTACTTTAGTTAAATGTATGAACTGTACAATATTTTGTTTAGATTATGTTATTCAATGTCTTGTAATATCTTTAATGATAAAATAATTTAAGAATTAAAATTGTATGAAATAACAAACATTTAATTTCAGATGTTAAAACAATATTTTGCTGATGTGGAAAAAATGTCAGAAGAATTAAGTAAGCAGTTATGGTTAATATTAAAACGTACCTTGAATTCTGTTAGAAAAGAACCTCAAGTTATTGTAACTGCCTTACGAATTATTGAAAGAGAGGAAAGGGCTGATACTGCTGCTCTTGTTAGACATAAGACAACTGGATTTTTGCCACCAGGTAGACCAAAAAAATGGAGGCAGCGTGCATTTGAAGTTCTGAAACAAGCTGTTGCTGAAAGGTTACATTTCTATTTAATAAAATATATAAAAATTTACTTTTTTAAATATTTACTTAATAAAATAATAAATTGTTAATTATAAGATTAAAGAAATGTTCAATATTGAAAATTTTCATCAAGTTGTGTTATTAGATTAAAAAAATACAGTGTAGGGCCATTAAGCCACGAATTTGCTTAAGCCATGCAAAAAGTTTGGATCCAAATTTTTTGACAGTATGGTTCATAGGGACCGGGACATGGCCTCTCAAACACTCGAGACAGGTGTTGACAGCTGTCATTTTGGCATTTCAAATGTCCGTGATTGACATTCTATGCACTATCACACATTAAATATTTAAATGCTGGCTTATAACTTCGAAGAAGTATTCATAGAAGATTAGACTTTTATTTATCAATAAACAATAAAATAACTTGCAATGAAATTCAAATACAGTATTAATCTATTTTATCCACGCTGAGTGTCAGCTACATGGAAGACGCCATTGTAACCGATTCACACCTTACAATGCTACAAAGTTAATCCGTGGTTAAGCTGCGGTTAAGAAGTTTGGACCCCAATCACTGCGGCTTAATGGCCCTACACTGTAATTAGAATATTATAGCTGTCTCTTAGAATAACTATATGAAAATATATTTCTTAAAAATTACAGCCTAGATTAAATGGAAAATATTAGAAAAAAATGCATTCAAAATGGAAATATATTACTTTACATTTTTTTTAATACAATTATTTTTTNCTACAGCTAGCAAAACAATGTCAAATATGTAATCACTTTCGGTAATCCGGACACTTTTGGTAATTCGTCACCCCTTTGGTCCCGTACCTGTCGGATTATTAAGGGACAACTGTATACTACACTAATAATGGATTTTTTCATACTTTTCGGTTATCCGACTTTTCAATTATCTGACCAACCCCAGTCCCCAATTGAGTCGGATAATCGAGGCTCTACTGTACTAAATTTTTTGACAATGATTCAAGATAATGTTTTTATTTTTAATATGGATTATATACTTTCTTGGTAGTTCTATATTGATGCCATTCTGAGCAAATATAGCTGGCAGTTTCATTTAGTGATTATTAACTGATAAATTAATTAATTTATGTCACAATTACTTTCATACATCTGACATTCTTTTAAGTGCAATATAGGTAACAGACACAAGTAATAATTGGCAATGTAGTGTTTAAAAATGAAATTTTTTTCAAAAATAGGCAGATGGCACTTACAATTAATTGATCAGATGTGATAATTGGCTATAAATGAGATTGAAAATTATTGTATAAGAAATGTATATTTCTAATTTATTATTACTGTAATAGAATATTTTCAGTTTGAATGAATAAAAATTTCAGACTGAGAAAACAGATACAAAAACCTGTGGTTTATAACAGAACTGGATGTGTTGCCATGATTATCGTTAATTAATAGTTAGTAATAAAATTATTATTTCTTTAAATGTTGTTCATTTTTTTGTGACTGGAGGGTCAGCAACCCGTTTGATGCAGAACCTGTGATGGCAAATAAGTTTGAAAGTAGGTCACATGAGTGATTGCATGTGTGAGTGCTCTGATTCTGGATGGAGGACTGAGACTGCAAGGTGGAAGTGACTCACTCGGATACCAGTTAAACAAACAAATAATCATTTGTAAAGAGAAAAAAAGATTCATGATACATATTGTACTAAGTCAAAATAACTATATACTGTAGGTGGTTGCAAGAGAGAGTTTACACTAGAGTGCACAGGAATAAATACCATGTAGAGGAGTGGAGATCTGGTGTTTGTTGGTTAAGTAAGTTTCGAAAATAGTTCTTGCAAAGTAGGTCTTGTAAAAATAGTTTGTAATTTGTAGATTTTGTCACAGACAAGAGGGATGAAGTATTAGTAGCCAAGGTATCCAGCAATACAACAATGCAAAGGTTTTTGATAGAAGCACACACAATTAAGTCTCTCAAGGACTAGACTACGACTGACAGATATTCGATAAAGTTATTATTAAGATGTTTACTTTGAAATCTGGATTCTCACATTTTAATGCTAATTTAATAATTTTAAGTTTAAAGAGTAATAATATTTTTCCAGTAGAATGATTATTTATTGATTATTCTGATTATTGGAGAATTAATTGTCAAAAGAGTATTAATCAGTGGACAAGCTGTAGTAAATCTCTAATCAGTAAAATCAGCTGCAGTTATATTTATATTGATCACTAATGATTGATACTTGTAAAGCTGTAACATTAAAAATAGAAGATAATAAAATACATTTACTATTATTTATTTTGGAAATTGATGTACTAGTACATATTTGCAACAGACTTGTAAAATTATTAGTAATGATAATTTCATCTAACTATTATATATTAACATGGCAGTAAACACTAAGTTATGGATAGATCAAAATATAAAATAATAATGATGTATTTGCTCTGAAAGCTGATATGAGACTTATGGATTTAGACTGCATTCTGAATTACAGTGGAACCTCGGTATACGACCTTAATCCGTTCCTAATGTTTGGACTTATACCAAATAGGACATATACCAAACCAGCCTTTCCCATAAGAAGTAATGCAAAAATGATTAATCCATTCTCATGAAAAAAAATGGCTGGCTTTAAACACCTCACTTTCCTGGCTAGTTTGTGCTTGATTTTTCAAGAGATCAGAATGTATCTTTTTAGCTTTCTCGCAAATATTTACTTCTGATACAATGTCGCCAGCACACTGTTTTTCAGTTATCCAAAGCAAAAGCAATTTCTCAACATGATCTAATGTCTTCGATCTCTGTTTAGAAATTGATTTAACCCCATTCCCAATGTTAGCAGATTTAATAATGTCTTTATTTTTCGCGATTGTTGATATCGTCCTCGGAATACGGTATGCAACTGTTAAATCTCAAACATGCATACTACTTTCATATTCCTCAACAATCTCTTTTTTCAGTTCCATTCTGATTCTAGTCATTTTTTTAGTTTTCTGTTGCTTTTCACTTGCCTTTTTGCAATTCATGATTAATAAAAATAATAAAATTTTACTTACGAATTAAAATCAGAAGAAATTTAACAAAGTTATAAACTGTGGCACCGCAAAGGTCTAGTCTGGTCTAGTACACCGATAGTGCTACTTGTTCATAGATGGTGCGNTTGTTCATATGCCTTAAGTTTTATGATAACACTATATACGGTAAATTATCAACTTTCAGTATAAAAATGTTTAAAAACTATTAAAATTTACTTTGTGATTTAAAATAATATAGTTTACACTACAAAAGACACACAAAAGTAGTATTACTTTTCTTTGAGCAGCTGTGATTTTTTTTCTTCTGCTTTAGAGATAAATGATCATCTGTAAAGCAGAAAAAATTACCATCACCACCACCTTTAAATAATTTCATAGATTTCAAGTTTTCCTTTTTTATATTTTTATTTGATATTTACAATATATATTTTCTTTATTGTTATCAATAAAAACACAACTTGGTTCAACAGTTTGTCCTAATGAATAAATTCAATTTTTATAAAGGAATCAAGGTAAACATTTGAAAGTTTAAATTAATTTTTAATATAAATTCACAAGAAGCTTGTCATGATTAGACTAAGAAATCTAGTGGTTCTTTTCCAAAAATCCGTAAACAGCTGAAAAAATTAAAATATGATGATTACCTTTTATATAGATTTAAAAAAATCCTTATTTTTACATTTTATTGTTGAATTTATTACTGAACTTATGTGTGAGAATACAAAATGTAAATAACATGACATTTTTCTTGACATCCTCTTATAAATTTATGAAGCATTGATTCTTTTTTAATGATTTGGATCAGTTTTTTTTTAATTTTATTCTTTTGCATAAGATTTCTTTAAGCAAGGAATTTAATTTTAGAAATTTTAGCAAAGATTATGAAATTTAAAACAGAATATTTAATCATAGTAAAGTAATTTTTTTACATTGAAAATTTAAAATTAAGAGTGTATTTGTGCAGTGTGTCATATTTTAAAAAATTGTACTAATAAGATAAATAAAATCAACATTTGTGGGTTTTTGTTATGATATTTTTATTCCTGTTACATTTTATTATTGAAAATGCATATATTTCTTTTTCATTTTTTGCTTAATTTTACATATACATGATAACTATTTTAATGTGTGAGATTAATTACCTTACTTAATGAAAGGAAAATTTATTTAGAGGATTAAACATTTATATTAAATTGCCAATATTATATTATAAATTTTATGTTAAATAATACTGAAATATGACTACTACTAATTTATTGTTTAAATTATATACTTTTTAAAAATATATTTATTAATTATGAGATTAAAATCTGTGCCAATTTGTTATTTTTATTTTAAAAAATTTTTCTTGTTTAAATTAGGCCTCAGTTGAAGCAATGTTGAAAACTGCCATGCAGACACAATTAGATGGTGTGAAATTAGGTTTAAATCAGTTGCAGACAGCATTACAGGACATACAAGATATTAAATCAAAGTATGTAATTTTCATATATAAATAAATACATAAATTCCATATTTGTAGTTTTAACATGTTGTTTTTAAATGATTAATACACTAAATTATATATTTAATAAATAGTGATTTTTTTTTTCTGTAGTTTAGGTTTGACAAATGCCAGGTCAATAATAGAAAAGTCTCTAATAATAAATATGAATAGTATATTATTTGATTTTTATTATGATTAGTTGGACTGCAATTTGAAAAAATTGTAGACCTATAAATTCTCGCTGTCCATCTGTCTTTCCTTAATCTTGAGAATGGACTTAAATAGGTGAAATCCAAGACCAGATTTGGAAATCTTAAGAGCAGGAGGCCCTGATTAACTGTATATGAACTTCTGATGCAAACTGAAAGTTATTTCAATTAAAAAAATTTTTCTCTGTAAGGAGTTAGATAGATGACGCATGACTCTGTTGCTAACAGGAAAATATTAGTGCTTGCTAATGGGAAAAGTATTATGTACAGGGGCAAGACACTACTAATCTGAAGTGGAGAGCATATATTTTAAATTAAATAAATTTAAAAAATATGATTAAAAACAGTTCAGCAATGTGACAATGTCACAATAAATAATTGCTTGTTTGTAGCTGATATCTTATTTAAAGAAAACGTGCAAATTACACTCTACAGGTTATAAGAAATCTATGATCATTCTTCTAATATCTCTTGAGATACTTTTGAAAAATAAATTGAATTTACTTTTATAATTTAAAAATAAATGAACACTAAAAAATATATTATCATAACAAAAACTTTGAAAATATTCTGTTAACTCTTTAAACATGAAATCAGTAAAAATCAGCTTAATCTGTTCAAGGTGAAATTGGCCAATTGAAAAGTTGTTTAAATAGTCTTACTATACAAGATTCCTTTGTAGTCTGATGAGTAAAAAAATTTAGTCTTCACAAACAGATAGAAATTTTCAGAGCTTAAAACAATATTTAGCTCATAAATTTGATTGTTTTAACAGTGTTAATGCATTTGATCCCAAAATAGAGATTAAAAGATGGAAATAGTTTAATTCATTCTTCACTATATGAACCAAGCTTTTCATATTATAAATAATACTACTATTGCATAATTTTTATCTTTGTAGATTTTCTTATTTTTTATTTCAATAATTAACATTACACATATTTTTTATGGGAATTATATATTGAAATTTTGTGAATGATATTTATATTTTTTTTTATCTCTCTATTTTGAAATATAAAAATTCTCTTATATTCATAATTAACTTAATTGAGTATGAATATATTAAATCAATATTTTTTTTAATGAATTACAATTTCTTTCAAATTAGTTTAAAAGAAATTGAAGGAAATTTTCAAGTTATTCCATTATTAGCAGAAAGATTGCAAGATGTTCGTGAAGAAAGTATGAAACATAGCCAGGTAAGATGTGCTAAGATATTACCAATCATTTTTATATGTTAGCCATTATGGCCAATGCATGATGCAACTCAGTGCTGTCCTTTGGTAGCATATATTGTTGTCATGCCATTTCATATAGGAGTCTGTTGTGTTGATGTTCAAACCATTGTAAAATGCCAATTTCATAGTGCTATAAAAAGACAACAATAACTATGGCTATGTTCTTTGTAGCGTTAAATTTCAATTTATATCTTAAGTACATATCTACAACTAAAAATGTTAACTTTCTAAATAACCAAAAAATATCTTAATAAACAGTATTTTAAACAAATAAAATAAAAAGTAATCTGCTACATCTTATTAAAGAAGAAAAGCATAAACAAAAGTTTTCTATAGCCTTTTGAAATGGTAGTGTTTTCCTTGCTTTCCACTGTGGTGAATTATTTGAAATAGAAAGGACTTCCAATGTACTTTCTTTGATTCTGATCTCTTTATACAAACTTCTGACATACATAAAACTGAATTGTTCAAATGCAATCAAAATGGAACCTGAAAAGCACACTTGTAAGCAAAATACAAAGTTCTTGTTACTCTTAAAAAAATCCAAACAAAATGACATAGAGAAAATATTTCAAGAACTTGTAAAATTTTATGCATTAAAAATGCTTTACAGTATGTAAAATCAATAAATATATTTAAAATTTTTTTTGTTTTTTAGAGTGTGTAAATCTAACCTACACCAATCCACATGCAAGATCTTGCATGTTCAGTACCTAATTTGCATAAAAGGATGTAACCTAAGAACCATGCATACATAACCATAATTTGAATTTCAACTAGTCTATTAATAAAAAATAAACTGAAATAATGCTGAATAAAATTCATTTTTCACACCATTTACAAAACAAGAAATTTAGTTATTTACAGATTTTTTTCTCTAATTTATATAAATCACATGTTATTTTTATAGCGAGTATGTGTAACTAACATTAATCCCAGAAAAAATAAATGCCTCTCTTTAATTCAAAATAACATTATCTAATATTGCCCCCACTTGTCAAAAAAACTTCTGCCCAAATTCACAAGCTCTCCTCTCCATCAGTTCACTTTACCTCCTGAATGTGAAAGAGATGTGGTAACTCAATGATACTGTTATTAACCCATTACATGACCCATGGTTTTCACCAGCTAAAAACCTAAATAGAGAAATTAATTAATTTGGTGGTTACCATACAAAACCTATAAATCTCATTAACAAGCTAGCCTATTTGACTAACATTCTAAACAAACATATTACAAACACATATGGCAATTTGTGAAAAATGTTTTAAAACAAACTGATGAAAAAATTACTGGAAAAAAATGTTAAAAATTTTAACTGGTTATAATATTGAAAATGAAAAAAAAAAGTAAAATTATTAACTTATTTTTTTTTATGATTAATATAAATTAAATGTTCTATTAAGCAATAGATACAGAAGATGTATATAATTTCGATTAATACACACAAATTGTGGCAAATTGATACATTAGCTAAACATTGTCCACAATTAAAACTGTCAAAAAGAAAAAATTGCCAAGGATCCACACATTCATGACATTGTCTGAATAAGCACTTTAGTCTAATTATAGCTGTTTACCTTCTGAGGGTAACCAGGAGGTTAATTATCTGAATTGGAAAATTAACTGGCCTAAAGAACACATGAAAGAGTTGGGAAGGTCATAAACCTATTCTGTTATGATCTTATATCTTATTATGTCACCCAATAATGGTTATTTTGAAGCCAAAATGTTAGGTCAGATTTTGGGTAGGCCACGAGTTAGTACTATTGCAATATTGTTAGATTATCTAATACCTGCTTTCTAAAGCCAAATTGATAGAAAATATTGAGAGGTCAAACCAAACTTGAGACAATTTCATTTGAATAGTGTACTGAGATAATTTTGATTATACAGTAGAGCCTCGGTTAACCGACCGTCCTAGTCAGCAAATTTCAAATGTCCGCTAGTGATGTGGCGCTACAATATTTGGCTATGTCTTGGCTACTTTAATATTATTTTTACGTGTTTTAGCTGGCAACACTCATTCGACCATGAAAGGGAGCCAGTATTTAAACGAGGCTTAATTTTCTAATTTTTAACGATACAATAGCGACGATTATTATTTTTAAAAATTTTTGTTAGGCTTAACATCGATGAAAATTCAACGCAAAGTAGGTTAATAGCGATATACTAATTACATGGGATATAATAATACAGTTGTCCCTTGATAGTCCAACGTTTTGTAATCCGACATGCTCAGTAATCCGACGCACCTCCCATCTAGGTCCCTGTCTCTGTTACGTGTCTGTTTGCACAGAAGCATGTCGCGACGTGAATCTCCCCACCCAATTCTTACATGATGACACACATTTCATGTGTTTTCCATGAGCAGTTCTGTTCGAACAGTTGGAGTAGGGAATATTGTAGGCTACAGCTAGCAAAACAATGTCAAATATGTAATCACTTTCGGTAATCCGGACACTTTTGGTAATTCGTCACCCCTTTGGTCCCGTACCTGTCGGATTATTAAGGGACAACTGTATACTACACTAATAATGGATTTTTTCATACTTTTCGGTTATCCGACTTTTCAATTATCTGACCAACCCCAGTCCCCAATTGAGTCGGATAATCGAGGCTCTACTGTACTAAATTTTTTGACAATGATTCAAGATAATGTTTTTATTTTTAATATGGATTATATACTTTCTTGGTAGTTCTATATTGATGCCATTCTGAGCAAATATAGCTGGCAGTTTCATTTAGTGATTATTAACTGATAAATTAATTAATTTATGTCACAATTACTTTCATACATCTGACATTCTTTTAAGTGCAATATAGATAACAGACACAAGTAATAATTGGCAATGTAGTGTTTAAAAATGAAATTTTTTTCAAAAATAGGCAGATGGCACTTACAATTAATTGATCAGATGTGATAATTGGCTATAAATGAGATTGAAAATTATTGTATAAGAAATGTATATTTCTAATTTATTATTACTGTAATAGAATATTTTCAGTTTGAATGAATAAAAATTTCAGACTGAGAAAACAGATACAAAAACCTGTGGTTTATAACAGAACTGGATGTGTTGCCATGATTATCGTTAATTAATAGTTAGTAATAAAATTATTATTTCTTTAAATGTTGTTCATTTTTTTGTGACTGGAGGGTCAGCAACCCGTTTGATGCAGAACCTGTGATGGCAAATAAGTTTGAAAGTAGGTCACATGAGTGATTGCATGTGTGAGTGCTCTGATTCTGGATGGAGGACTGAGACTGCAAGGTGGAAGTGACTCACTCGGATACCAGTTAAACAAACAAATAATCATTTGTAAAGAGAAAAAAAGATTCATGATACATATTGTACTAAGTCAAAATAACTATATACTGTAGGTGGTTGCAAGAGAGAGTTTACACTAGAGTGCACAGGAATAAATACCATGTAGAGGAGTGGAGATCTGGTGTTTGTTGGTTAAGTAAGTTTCGAAAATAGTTCTTGCAAAGTAGGTCTTGTAAAAATAGTTTGTAATTTGTAGATTTTGTCACAGACAAGAGGGATGAAGTATTAGTAGCCAAGGTATCCAGCAATACAACAATGCAAAGGTTTTTGATAGAAGCACACACAATTAAGTCTCTCAAGGACTAGACTACGACTGACAGATATTCGATAAAGTTATTATTAAGATGTTTACTTTGAAATCTGGATTCTCACATTTTAATGCTAATTTAATAATTTTAAGTTTAAAGAGTAATAATATTTTTCCAGTAGAATGATTATTTATTGATTATTCTGATTATTGGAGAATTAATTGTCAAAAGAGTATTAATCAGTGGACAAGCTGTAGTAAATCTCTAATCAGTAAAATCAGCTGCAGTTATATTTATATTGATCACTAATGATTGATACTTGTAAAGCTGTAACATTAAAAATAGAAGATAATAAAATACATTTACTATTATTTATTTTGGAAATTGATGTACTAGTACATATTTGCAACAGACTTGTAAAATTATTAGTAATGATAATTTCATCTAACTATTATATATTAACATGGCAGTAAACACTAAGTTATGGATAGATCAAAATATAAAATAATAATGATGTATTTGCTCTGAAAGCTGATATGAGACTTATGGATTTAGACTGCATTCTGAATTACAGTGGAACCTCGGTATACGACCTTAATCCGTTCCTAATGTTTGGACTTATACCAAATAGGACATATACCAAACCAGCCTTTCCCATAAGAAGTAATGCAAAAATGATTAATCCATTCTCATGAAAAAAAATGGCTGGCTTTAAACACCTCACTTTCCTGGCTAGTTTGTGCTTGATTTTTCAAGAGATCAGAATGTATCTTTTTAGCTTTCTCGCAAATATTTGCTTCTGATACAATGTCGCCAGCACACTGTTTTTCAGTTATCCAAAGCAAAAGCAATTTCTCAACATGATCTAATGTCTTCGATCTCTGTTTAGAAATTGATTTAACTCCTTTCGCAATGTTAGCAGATTTAATAATGTCTTTATTTTTCGCGATTGTTGATATCGTCCTCGGAATACGGTATGCAACTGTTAAATCTCAAACATGCATACTACTTTCATATTCCTCAACAATCTCTTTTTTCAGTTCCATTCTGATTCTAGTCATTTTTTTAGTTTTCTGTTGCTTTTCACTTGCCTTTTTGCAATTCATGATTAATAAAAATAATAAAATTTTACTTACGAATTAAAATCAGAAGAAATTTAACAAAGTTATAAACTGTGGCACCGCAAAGGTCTAGTCTGGTCTAGTACACCGATAGTGCTACTTGTTCATAGATGGTGTGTATAATTGAATTAAATGGTATACCGAGCAAAATTTGTTTCGTCCAAACAGGACATATTCCGAATTGGACATATTCTAAAGCAGACGTACACCGAGGTACTACTGTATTTCTTTTCTGAATTTTTTTAATAATGCAATCCCAAAATATTACTAATAATGACATATCTGTATATCTATAGTATCAAATATTTGTTTAATTTATAATATAATATTTGTTTGTTTATAATATAATAATGGCATATATATGTATATCTGTAGTATCAAATATTTGTTTTAGTAAGTATATTAGTGTAAATCAATTATTCAAATGCAGTAGATTCTCAGTAATCCAGTCATTCTTTGCTCAGAGGTGTGCCAAATTAGGGAGATTGCTTGATTACTGAGAATATAGATTTAAAGGCAATAAATGAACAAGACTTCTCACCATTCAGTACTAATTCTTTTTGCAGACAAGTGAACAAATAACATGGCAAGCTGAAATGCAATGCTAAAAAATTATTTATGTAGTGATGTCTTTAATTCAATGAATTGAAACTGTTGTATATTATAATTTGGATTTTGTTTTATTTAGTCTTGCTGATTTAGAAAATTCTCGGGATGATTTATTGTTTGAAATGCACAAACTTCCTTCAAGAAGCCCAACTGATAGGAATGTAAGTATTCTTAAAAGTTTTGTATACTGTATTTTTCTTTTTAAATGGAACTTATTTACATCTTAAATAAAGTAATTTATAATAATGGGTTGTCCATTAGTTATTTATACAGTTTATGTGGAAAGGGTTGCAAAAAGTGCATGAATGGTAAGAAAGGGGTTGAGGAATCTTTTTAATGATATTAGTGGCTTACTAATTTATTTTTATAATCCTACTTACTAGTAATGTGAATAACCCATCAGAAGATATTTGCAAAACGTTTTAGTCATTTCTTCAATTTTACAGGATCTATGAATTATTGTACAGGTAATTAAAGGAATGGCATTTTTGAAAAGTACATCAGTGTACACAACAGGTAGAAAGGAAGTCAAAATTGATCTAAAAACTGTACACATAATTAATGGTTGGCCTATAATTTATAAGTGTAAATTACTTAATGACATTATAATGAAAGATATATGAATTACAATAATAAATAAATATACAGTAAAACCTGTCTATGGCGACCACCTACGGTTCCTTCAAAAAGTGGTCTTTTAGACAGGTGGTCATTTAATACAGGTAACTTATTATGTAAATTGAAAATTCCGTGCCAGAAATTTTTGCCCGTTTTGACAGGTGCCCGTCCAATGCAGGTGGTCGCCTAAGCAGTTTTCACTGTATATGGATATGCTCTGATTTTTTATTATTATTATTATAATTATTTCAATTTATATTTTATTCACTATAATGTCATTAATTAAAAACTATGATATTACAGAGAAAAATGTTTGAATATAAAAAATACTGAATAATACAATCCTTTATATCTATATTTGATACCTTTTGTAGTTTATATTAAAGAATAAAATAAATTTTTAAATTAAAGATTACTTTAGTTAAATGTATGAACTGTACAATATTTTGTTTAGATTATGTTATTCAATGTCTTGTAATATCTTTAATGATAAAATAATTTAAGAATTAAAATTGTATGAAATAACAAACATTTAATTTCAGATGTTAAAACAATATTTTGCTGATGTGGAAAAAATGTCAGAAGAATTAAGTAAGCAGTTATGGTTAATATTAAAACGTACCTTGAATTCTGTTAGAAAAGAACCTCAAGTTATTGTAACTGCCTTACGAATTATTGAAAGAGAGGAAAGGGCTGATACTGCTGCTCTTGTTAGACATAAGACAACTGGATTTTTGCCACCAGGTAGACCAAAAAAATGGAGGCAGCGTGCATTTGAAGTTCTGAAACAAGCTGTTGCTGAAAGGTTACATTTCTATTTAATAAAATATATAAAAATTTACTTTTTTAAATATTTACTTAATAAAATACTAAATTGTTAATTATAAGATTAAAGAAATGTTCAATATTGAAAATTTTCATCAAGTTGTGTTATTAGATTAAAAAAATACAGTGTAGGGCCATTAAGCCACGAATTTGCTTAAGCCATGCAAAAAGTTTGGATCCAAATTTTTTGACAGTATGGTTCATAGGGACCGGGACATGGCCTCTCAAACACTCGAGACAGGTGTTGACAGCTGTCATTTTGGCATTTCAAATGTCCGTGATTGACATTCTATGCACTATCACACATTAAATATTTAAATGCTGGCTTATAACTTCGAAGAAGTATTCATAGAAGATTAGACTTTTATTTATCAATAAACAATAAAATAACTTGCAATGAAATTCAAATACAGTATTAATCTATTTTATCCACGCTGAGTGTCAGCTACATGGAAGACGCCATTGTAACCGATTCACACCTTACAATGCTACAAAGTTAATCCGTGGTTAAGCTGCGGTTAAGAAGTTTGGACCCCAATCACTGCGGCTTAATGGCCCTACACTGTAATTAGAATATTATAGCTGTCTCTTAGAATAACTATATGAAAATATATTTCTTAAAAATTACAGCCTAGATTAAATGGAAAATATTAGAAAAAAATGCATTCAAAATGGAAATATATTACTTTACATTTTTTTTAATACAATTATTTTTTATAAATTCTATTTTATATGTCAAAATGTATTATAGAAAAGTTATTAAAAAACAATAATCAACTTCATAATTATTTTTGAATCTGATATCTTATAAAAATGAATTTGATTCATTTTGTAAGATGTTATCAGCGTTACAATTATTGATTTCTTTAAAAGATTATCTTTGTAAGTTTCATAATTTACTTGCACAGTTGGTCACTTGCAAAATACAAATGCACATATTATGAAATTGTATGAAACTTTCATAATATATTCACTTACATATTTATTATTAACTTTTATTTTCATGTATTATCTTTATGCTTATTTGTTGTATATTTGTATACTTTTTTTTTATCATTGTGTAATGCAGTTGGGCTTACTAAAGCTTTTTTTTATTTTTAAAGAAGAAATAACAAACTAATTATTTGTTTTTAGATTTGTATAAATAAAAATAGGTAGAAATAATCCTACAAGAAACTTTGCATAGAAAGAAAAAACAGTTTGAAGAGAAATAATTCACAAGTCTAGATTAAAGATATGAAATAATTAATTTATGCTCTTGACAGTTGGCAGATAGAAAGTATTACTATGTTTATTGTTATTAGTAAACAAAACAAACAAAATTTTAAAGATATACATTATGTAATGAATATCAAAATTTTTTATGTTGATATGATTTGTAATAACAATATAGATTTGAAAATTTAAAAGAAAAGTTTCAATTATATGAATTTTAAAAAGGCCTTATTTTAGAATTGAAGGAAATCAATTAGAAGAACGAGCTGAGAACAAAATGTGGTTGGTAAGACATTTAGAAGTTACCAGACAACTTGTTATTGAAGATTTAAGAGTTGTTAAAGTAAGTTATTTTGATTCCTTGACAATTTTTAATATTATATTTAAATTTTAATTTAACATTTTGTATTGCTGATCATCATTGATATTTTATTATAAGATTAAAAATTATATTTATATATTCCACATTAGGGAGTTTTAATTTAATAATTTTTCTATGTTAATGAGATTCATGTTTTAAAAAATATTCTAAAACTATTGATAAGCATACTTACTCAAAATTTTTGAAATAATTTCTTTTTAATGTTTCAGAAATATAGAAATTCTGTTTTAGTATTTTTGCTACAGTCAGTGACTAAGTTACCATTGAAAATTTACTCAGTTGAATATTTATTTAATAGAAATGAATGTAGGAAAGTTATTTCATTATTTTTTTATTTTTTTGATTTCATGATAGCAATCAGTAGTAACTATTTCACATTTGTGTATGTACTGTACTTCAAATTATATCATAGTTTTGCATGGAACATATTTCAGCATTACAGATTTAAAAAACATATTTTGCAAATTTTATTAATTATTTTGTATTTAGTTTAGAGTTTATGATTATAGCAAAGAATCCTAACCATTAACTCAAAACTGATTGTGCAGGAATTAGAAAAATGTGAAAATATTTATTGAAAATTAATATTTGGAAAATCATATAAAATCCTGTATGATTTTATAATTAAGTCTGTAGTTGATAGATACATTATAATGTTTGTAGAATAATATCTTATAAATTGTTTGTTATTTGTTATCATATATTTTTTCCAGCATTCTCTTGATACTAGATTAGTATGCAGTGAATACAGATACTTGTCTTTGTTATATGTTTTTTCTATTTATTTTATTGAAAAAAAATTATATACAGTATATATATTTAAAGATATAAGATTTATTTTTGATTTTAAATTTGATCACATCTAAATAAATAAAATTTCTAAAATAATTTTTATAGAATATATCTTTCAAAATATTCTTACTACAGTAGAGCATCGATTATCCGACCCCGATTAACCGTCGGTTAACCAATCGTTCTAGTCGGCAAATTTCAAATGTTTGCTACTGAAGTGGCGCTACAATATTTGGCTATGTTGTGGCTACTTTAATATAATTTTTGTTAAACTTTTGTATGTTTTAGCTGGCAACACTGGCTCGACCATGAAAGAGAGGCCAGTATTTAAAAGAGATTTAATTTTCTAATTATGAGTGGTTGTTTGTTTTGTGAACAATAAAATAATTTAAAAATAATTTTTAATGATACAATAGTGACGATTATTATTTTTAAAAAAAATTTGTTAGGCTTAACATCGATGAAAATTCAACGCAATGTACGTTAATGATATACTAATTAATAGCGATATAGTAATATACTATACTAATAATGTATTTTTTTCATTATTTTCAGTTATCCGATTTTTTCAGTTATCTGACCAACCTGAGTCTCCAATTGAGTCGGATAATTGATGCTCTACTGTATTTGATTTTTGTAACATTTGATAACTTGTTTAGCTTGTTTGACATCTAAGTGAAAAAGAAAATTCTTTTCCTCACAGAAAAATATAATCAATAATATAAAATCTAGAACTTCTTTATTTATGTAACTAATAAAAGTATTAATTCTGAGAAAACTGTAAATATAATATGGTATAATTAATATTCAAAAGTAAAATATGATGTATAATTATAATTGATAGTGAAAACTTTATCTGCAGTTTTATGTAAGATTTTTTGTTTCTAATTCTCTATAAAATAATGAAAAATGAAAAACACAACAGTATTCAATTTAATTTCTTATTATCTGGATTTAGATATACATAATAAACAAGTACTTGATATATTCATTTTGACAAATGATTTGCCAGATTATCTATTGGGCTATATTAAAGCTGGGAAATTGAGATACCCCTGCTTTTTGTTATATGTACAGGGGACTGTTTCAAAGTATCATAGTATGGTTCTTTATTAAGTTTACAATTATTTGGAGGAAATATTAGTTTCTTTTTCCCCCATTTTTTACTGCTGAGTACTTTTTGGTATCTTTACCCCTTTTGCACTTAAATTGGATTTTGTGTATTTTTCTATTTATAAATAGAATTAAATCTGAAATTAAATTTTTAAATAATTTTTTGATATTTTGGTACTTAAATACATTTCTGTAAAATAATAAGGATGTTTTGTTTACAAATGTGTGGAAGGGATGCGATGACATAGCAGCTTTGATTTGATGGTTTGAAAAATGTCAAAGTTACCAAAGTCAAAACTGAAGGAGTTAGTGAGTAATTTTAAAGATGGAGGAATTATGACTGATGATAGTATTTTGATATGTGACTGTAACCATAAATTTGGATAAAAAGTATTGATTGATTTAATAAGTGAAATATCACAGTAAGTCACATTAAATATTAAAAAGATAAATTTAACAAGTTAATAGTTATTAAGATTCTTACAAAAGGAGAAAGTTTGCTAAACATCGTTGTCCCAAAAGTTTAGGTAAATTTCAAAAATTACATTTAAAAAAATTTTTAATGGCTAATTGAGCTTCCATTATTTTTAATAACATCAAACACATGATTTGGCATTGAACTCACAAGAGTTTGTAATAATTCTGGTTTCAAGTTATACCAAGTGCAATTGAGGTTTCATGGAAAACTGACACTTACCTGCATATACTTGTCTTGCCATGATTCCCCATAAGTTTTCTATTGGGTTTAGGTCAGTACTTTTTGCAGGCCATTTCATAACATCTACATTTTGATTCTGAAGCCATTTTTTGGTTGAATTTGAACAATGAATGGGAGCATTGTCCTGTTTAAATGTCCAATTTGTACTATCTATTATTTCTGCTGTAGGAAGATGTTGTTCTAAGGTGTCTTGATAATGTTCTGAAGTCTGACTGCTAAAATGCTAGATTGGAAATTCCATTGAATCTAAATGCTCCCCACACCTTCTTCTTTGACCAAAGAGATGTTATTAAGACATTCCAAAAGTTGTAAGGAGTTGTTGACAGTGAAATGATATCTTGTCAACTTATTGTTATGGAAGTTGACCAGCTTTTATTTCATAAAAATGTTGGAGAGGAACCTTTTTTGGTTACCAAATATAACTGTGTTCTAGGTTTGTGTCTTTGCAAAAATTAAAATGCAGAGTGTTCTAGATGCATGGATATGAAATTCTGCATTTTTAGTATCCCTACAAGCTGGGTGGAGATGAATTTTCTTATCCTGTGTTGTAGGGAATCCAAGAAGTTTGGCAGTGCTATTTGGCAATCTGTATTTGTGATGTATTCCTGCAGCCTCTCATTGTAAGTGGACCTGTTGATCAAGACAATATTCTTGGACTTGTCCACTCTCATAATGACATCATTATTCTCTCTCAACTAACATTTTTAATTTGTAAACAAGATGCAATGTTTTGTGATACAAAGAATTGAGCAAAAATATTTTTGTTTTAGTAATTATACATGCAATTAATAATAAATATATATTATTCATTCTTTAATTGAAATATAAAAAATATTTTCATATACTAGAATATAAAATTTATAATAAATGATTTTCCAGACTGCTTGTGTTCCTTGTTTTCCTCCTGAATATGACATTGTCATTGAATTTGTTAAGATGTATCATGATTGTTTATCTAAACATGTGAGTAATATTTTTTATTTATTGATAATTTTAAATCCAGCAATAAATTAATTTATTTAAAAAGTTTTGATTTAAAATATATATCAATTCAGTTTGAATTATTATAAGATTATTTTAATATAACAGTTTAAATTACTGTATCTTTTGGTTTATTATTGAAGACCTTTTTATTCTGATAGTATATTTGTTTTAATTTCTAATTGAGATTGAAAAATCAAAATTAATGATATTTTGAAGTTAAAAATGAAATATGAAGTAANATCCCCAAGTTATTTCTTAATATATTTTTAATGTTTTTTTTCCTATAAAATAAACATATCTTTTTGTGAACTTAATAAATGGATTAATTTGTTCAAGTCAATGTTGTACAATTGGGGTGTGTTTTGGGGGTTTAATATTTAACAATTAAAAAATTAAATTTAATTTAAACAGTATATTGTATATAACTTACATTTATTTAGTGCCTGTTCAGTTCCTCCTTAATCTACTGTATTGTGTTACTCTATATACACACATACTGTATTTTTGTGGCATGCCGGTCTATCTGGAGAGACCATGAAATCATATTTCCATATGGTAAAAACTGGTTTAAGTGAGGTTATACATCCCTCTATAGAGGGTGCATTAAAAAAACAAATAAGTTTTTATTCTAAAACTGTGAAACTCAAATTACATCAAACTGTGAAATTACATCAAAATCTATGATTATATGTTTAATTTCTTTATTTTGTCTTCTTTCTAACAGTGTAAAATACTTGTGGAATAACAAAAGTGCTTTTTATGTGTATTTTATTATTTGATTCAAAAATGCAAAAATAAACACACCAAATTTAAGAAACTCTCTGTAAATTATCTTAGCTTACATCCATTAACATTGGCTTTGTGTAAAATTTGAGAGGAAGTTATTTTTAATGTCTGGGTCAGTGTAACCCACACTGACTTGCTGCTGCTGCTGTTGTCAATAAGTCATTGTGTTATTGTCTTGTAGATGAAAAATCTCTTCTTGATTTTATGTCATTCAAATTACAATGTTATTATTTTATTGTACTCAGAAGAATGTTTTTTTAACATTTAATTAACAACTAGTTTTGTTAGATTTGATTAATTTTATATTTTAGTCACTGCTGGAAATCTTGCATGCTGATTTTCCCTGTTTTTATGTAGCATGTGCAAAAATATGCTATAAAAATTAAAAAATATCATAGGATTAAAAAAATTTTTTTTTAGTTATCTTTTTAAAAAAACCTGTGCATGGATCTGATTCTAATCATTTCTGCACTGTCAACATTTATAGAATTCATATAAATAACACCTTATCTTTGCCGAGAAATACAGTTGGTGATCGGTTAACGAACAGATCGGATAACGAACACTTTCGCAAAAGATTTTTATGATCAGACAACGAACACTTCACTGAACAAACATAAAAAGCGATGAAAATAGCAAATACCGATTGATTTTCCCTTGTCTTCAGGCAACAATTCGAAACTTTTCGGAGTGCTGGAGACATCAACATTGACACTCAACCCAGAATATACTGATCAAATAATATTCCTCTGAACTTTGAAACTCTCCCTTGTAATTCCAACCTTTTATTTTTCTGACAGAAACAATTCTTTTATAGTATTTGCAAGACTGTTGGGCGGTCACTCGTTAAGTTTTGCGTTGAGTTTTATTATCGAAGGTAAAATAACTAAGGTAGAGAGTGGGCAGATGTCTGATGTTGCTGGACAGTATGGCTTGAACAAATCTACAGTAGGGGGCAGTTCAATCTTACCTAAGAAAGATACAGTATAATCAAGAAGATTCAAGCAGCTAAAGGAGTAACAAAATCACTTCTGAGAAGTAAAGAACATTGAAGAGCTCATAATGGAACCTGAAATGGATCTGACGACAGAAGAATGCCAAAAACTCTTGAAAGAAGAACACCAAGAAACTCGTCAAGATATGTTTTATTATGAAAAATAGGATTAATGCTGATATCTGCTATTAATTAAAGATCTTTTGAAGAAGTGGAAGGATGTCAGATCAACGGTCTTAGAATGGCATACAAACCAGGTTGAGGTTAATAGGCTTGGGGATCTCTACAATTACAATGCTATTAATTACTTATGAAAATCTTGAAGAAGAAAGAAAAGCAATCTACATTAGACAGATTCTTTAACTATCAGAAAGAAAAAAACATAACTAATAAAAATGCAAGACTGCATATATACGTATTTTTATTATTACATATAAATGAATGTAGTAAGAAAGTATATATTTTTTATTTTTTGGGGTCTCCAGAACGAATTAATCAAATTCCCATACAAACCTATGGTAAATCGATAATCGGTTAACGAACAATTTGGATAGAGAACAAAGTCTTGGAACGGATTATGTTCATTAACCGATCACCCACTGTATATATAAAAATGGACGCATTTGTGCCTATACATCACTCTGCAGCCAAAACTACACATCGCACATGAATGGTGTTTGTGTCTGGTAGTAGCCCCAAGTCTCCCATCGTGCACTATGGTGGTTGCATCTCGATAGCTATAAGGGTGTGAGAGATATGGGGTTTGAAAGTGGTTGACTTCGAAAATGTGTGACGCTTCAATGAGAATGTTCCAGTTTTTTCTAGAAAGTTCCAGAACCTAGAGGTGAAATTTGGTACACAGTTAGTGTATGTCATGAAAATGCACACTAAGAAGGGATTTTTCGAAATTCCCTGTGGGGGGAGAGAGAAAGCATTAAGGCTTAACTTGAAGAAAGGCTTCTACTCTACTATTTTAGATGCGATTTTTTGTTTTTAACTGCATTTTAGTAGGGTATGTCATGAAAACTCGCACTAAAAAGGGATTTTTCGAAATTCCCCCGCAGGGGGAGAGGGAAAGCATTAAGGCTTAACCTGAAGAATTTTAGATGCAATTTTTTTGTTTTTAATTATGTTTAGTCTTCATTGAGTACTTAGTGGTATTAAATTGATAACATTTCAGACATTGTTATAAATATTTTAATATATTTTGATTTTTTAACCAAATGTTCAAACCGTTTTAAATTAGAATTTCTTTTTGCACATTGATTCGATAATACAATGATTGTAAACGATCCAGAAAATTTATCAAATTAGAAACAGTTCATTTGATTCTCAGCAATTCTCATCATTCTCAGCAGTAGGTGTTAAATAACAATTACTATCGTTATTGAAATACTGAATATAAATGGGGTTTGCTTGCAAAATCCGCGTGAGTGAAGCCGCGGGTAACAGCTAGTATTACAAATATTTTTAAAGGATGTTACAATAAATTATTAATGTAATGATTTTATTTAGTTATTTAGGATAATCAAATTAAGAAATAATAATCATCATCATTTTTCTTCTCACATGGTAAAATGTATATATATTAATATATAGGGTGGGAAAGAAAAGGTCACTTAACACCCCTGCTACAGAATATAGAATGTATCCAAAGTTAATTTTCTCATGTCAGGAACAGATTGATATTGTTACATGCATAGCTGCCATTAAGACAGTAGCCATGTGTGTAACAAACATCAATCTGTTTCCATCTAACTTTGGGTACATTCTATATTCTGTAGCAGGAGTGTTAAGTGACTTTCTATTCTACTGTGTGTGTGTGTGTGTGTGTGTGTGTGTGTAAATATTATAAAAAATATTTTTATAAGAGTTTTTTCTAAATTACAGTTTTCTTTTAAAGCTTCAAGACATAATTGCAAATGAGTTGGAAGGAAATGAACATATAACTATTTTGAATTGGTTAAATACTTATGAGTAAGCATCAAGAATTTTGTATTTTTTTTTTAATAGAAATGCAAATTATTATATTTATGTACAGTTAAAACTTTTTTAAAAATTTGTCATAAAATTCTTTAATAATGTTCTATGTAAACTGATTATCAAAACAATCACAATAAGAATTTTATTTCTTGTTTTGAGTATAATTATCTACTTTTAGAACTTGTATTTAATATTTTTTTATTTTTATTAATGTTTTAAAATACCCATTTAATCTTAATTTTGTAAACTTTAGTTATCGTGCTCAAATTTTTTCAGGTTATTTTATAAAAGTTTTGTTTTTATATTTATTTAAACTTAATATTAGAACTTCATAACTTTTAACTTAATAAAGAAATAAAATGCAATGATATCTTATTTATTTCTTTACTAAAAACAGATTTGGTTTTGACTGGTCCATTATAAAGTATATTAGAATAAAATAAAATTTATAACTTTTGAAACTATTTAAAATTTAGATAAACTAAAATTATAATTTGATACTAATCAGTAAAGATCACATAATATAATACTGTAGATGATAAAATACTAAGATATATAAATTTTGTAGAATATTTATATTTATTCCCATTTATTCTCAAATAAGCTACTGAAGCAATTTGACAAACTATTTGAGTTATCTTTTAAGAGAAATCACTAATTAACTTTTGAAAATATTCAAATTTTAAAAAATACTTTGAAAGAATTAACTTGAAATTGTTTAAAGCAGCAGTACCCAGGGCACTGCAGCTTCCTCACAGGGGCACCATGAAATAATATAAAATTTTTATAATGTTAGAATTTAATGTACTTGTTAGAATTTGATATAGGGTGCCTTAGGAAAATCTGCGTTTAGCAAGTGTACCTAGAATCAAAAAAGTTTGGGACCACTGGTTTAAAGAATAATGACAAATGCAGCAATATTTAGAAAAAAATTTTAAAAACTTTTTATGTAAAATAAGTTTTTTTATTTTTTAAAATTTGTTTTACTTAACAAATGAAAAAATAAAAGTAAATGAAGTTGAGATTCTAATTCAGATATCGTTAATTGTTTTCTATTGTGCAAATTATGATGTCAACAATTATTGAAAACTGATTTAAAAATTTTAAACAGTAAAGATCTTAAAATATATTTGATTTGTAAAAAACTGAAGCTAGTTTTTCCTTTTTCCATTCTTATTTAATTTAACAGAGAGAATTATTTTTGAAAAATAATTTTGAAATTATAAAATCAAATTTTTGTTAAACCAAAGAAGACTAAAAAAAATCTTAAGCCTTAATTTAATATGTAATGTTATTTTTATTAAAAAAAACTTCATCCACAAACAAAAAAAAGGTGTTTTAGTTTTTTAAAAGTGTTTTTATTTATTTGATAATCTGTTACATTTTATTATTCATTAAACTAAATTTATTGATAACAAAAGCATTATGTATTTATGTAGAGGTATATAAATATCAATTAAGTACTAAAATTATTGCATGGATTTTAATATACAATCTAAAAATTTTGTAACTTATGTAAGTATGAAATTAGATGAAATCTTATAAATGTCTAAAAGCCTGGTGATTATGTTGGAAGCAAAGGATTGGACGAAGGTCTGAGTAGTGTCATTGGCAATGCATCTGCATGATAGCAGTAGTTGCTGGTTCAAGTCCCACTCCAGGCCAATTCTGTTCTTCCAAAATTTTCTAAATTATTTAATAAATCATCATCATCATTACCCATTCTTGCTGATACCCAGAGAAAGTACAGGTTGAACATGGTGAAAAAATCAAACTTTTATACTACCATCCATTACTTTTTTCTAAACTCTCCTATCAACAGACAAATTTTTAGCCTGGACTAAAGTTAAATTCCTTTCCTCTAAAGCCTGCTTAACACTATCAATCCACCTTTGTTTAGGTTGTCCCTTTGGTTTTTTTCTCTTTGATTTTAGCTTTGAATACCTGTTTGGCCAGTTGGTCTTCTCCCATACTTTCCAAGTGGCCAAACCCCCTCAGATTAGCCTTGCTTACTCTCGACTGAATATTTGTTATCTTAAGGTGTTTCCTTATGTCTTCATTTTAATATGATTTTACCACTGTATCCATTTATTAACACCACTAATTTTTCTAAAAACTCTCATTTCTGCTGCTTCTAATTTTTGATCAATTCCCTTATTTCTCACCCAACTCTCAGAACCATATGTCAATATAGGTTTAAAAGCTGTGTTGTACACAACTAGTTTTGTTTTATGACTTATTTCTTTCTTGTTTCCAGCTATATTTGATCAGTTGGCTCCTTGTCTGACCTGCCTTGTTTAAGCTATTGCTAATTTCCAAATCAAACTTTGTCTTTGCTAAAGATTGTTCCCAATATGAGAACTTATTGACATGTTCTAAGCATTTGTTACCAAGTTTAACTGTTAGTCTCTTTCTCTCAACTAATAGCCATAACCTTTGTTTTCTTGTAGCTGATTGACATACTGAAATTCCTGCAACTTTCCTCTAAATTATTTAAAGATTGCTGGAGGTCCTTGGGTTTATTGCTTAGTAGGACAATGTCGTTCGCATAGAGTAAAGAACCAATTTTTATATTTCCCAAACTGAAGTTTGTCAATAGTTTTGATTGTTTTATTAAATTATCCATGAAAATTATGAATAATAAAGGTGACAATGTACATTCTTGTATCACCCCTAGTTTTATTTGGAACTAGTATCTATTTGTCCTATCCTTACAGCTGATTTGCAGTTCCTACACAAGCTTTGGATTTCCCTGAGTTGAGTATCATTGACACCATATTTCTGAACTCAAAAAGTAATCCTCTAGGTACTCCATCAAACACCTTCTCAAGGTCAATGAATCCCAAGTATAGTTTCTTGTTATATTCTCATGCTTTCTCTGTCAATTGCCTTAGTGTAAATATTTAATCTTGGCATCCTCTATTTGGTCTAAAACCTGTCTGTTGTTCTCCTAGGTCACTTTCAACTACTGTATTTGTCTGACCATTTTTTCTAAAATGCTGGCATAAATTTTAGCTTGTACACTGAGGAGTGAGACTCCTCTATAATTACTAGATTCTGTTATACTTTGTTTTTTATGAATTGATGCAATTAAAGCTTGTCCCCAATTTTATGGAACCTTTCCTTCAGTGGTTACATCACATTATTCAAAGATGTTGTCCTACATGTTTTTGAATAATGTGATGTAACTACTGTACTACTGTACTTTAGCCATCTTTACATATAGTTTGCTGTCTTACATGTAGCTTTATAATCTAATAGGGTGCTTATGGTCTTATTTGCCAGATATCTTTTATAAGCTGCCTTCTTCTCTTGTACTGCTTGTCTAACCTCTTTGGTCCACCATGGAGTTGTAACCTTCCTATCTTTGCAAACAACTTCCCCACATACTATTTTTGTCAAGTCTATCAATGTTTCCTTGAATTTTTGCCATTCCTCCTCTAAATCCATTTTGGTAATAGAGATAGTATTAGCTGCAATATTAACCATATTTCTGTATTTAATGGCATTTGGAAGATTGATAATTTTTATATTTTTATCTGTTGAAGTACCTTTTTACATCTCCTACTCCTAATATTGATGATTGTTTTTAATTTGCTCACTACAAGATGATGATCACTATCAACTTTGAAACCTCTAAAGACTCTTGTGTCTTCAACTAAATGGATAATGTCCTTGTCTACAATAATATAGTCAATTATGCTTTACAGATTTCTAGTGTGTTCTCTCCATGTGAATTTGTGACTCTATGTTGGAATATTGTATTAGTAAGCACAAAACTCAAGTAATCTTTAGCCATTTCTGTTATGTTTTCCTTTCTCACCAAACTTACCTAAAATGCTGCCATAGATTTAGTTGTTATTTCCCACTCTACTATTAAGATCTCCAGCTAGAATTATTTTTTCGTTAGTATTTGTCTCTGCTGATCCCATAAGGTCATAAAATTCTTCTGTCTTCCTTCTTTGAACCTTCAGTAGGTCCATAGGCACAGATAAATCTCATTATCCAGTTAAATTTTGCCCAGATGACTGCTAGAGTCATCTGGGCAAAATTTAACTGGATAATGAGATTATCTTCCATAGCAAATGTAAATACTATGTCTACACCCTTCTTGCATTGAGCATCCATTCCCTGAGTAGATCAACTCATATTTATTGTTTAGGCTTGTCTCTCCAACTATAATTTTCTTAGTTTCAGTGATACCTGCCATTTGTACATTATACTTTTTTGTTCTTCAGCTAGTTCTACTTCCTTTCCATTCAGACCTCTAACATTGATGGTACCAACACTGATTTGTGTTCCACTGTGTCCTGGTTCCCTGACCAACACAATGGGAATCTTGTTGACCCAGGTGATGTCCCATCTGTTATGACTTTCTATTGATTTAATTTACCATGTTTAAAAGTTTTCACCAATAAGGAGATCCATTATGGTTGGTTAAGCCTATAATGGCTGCCCATCCTCATTCGTTTTGATAGCCCAGTTAAATGACTATCTCAGGGGTGGCCAACAGGTTTTGCTCCCGGGCCGAATTGGAAAGAGAACTTTTTTCATGGACCGAACCAGAGGATGACCTAGGAAGATTTTGAGGTGGTGCAAGATCTCATTGTGGTGTCACCCCATAGAGACTAAATTGTACATAGAGATTACAGATACATTTTTCACATTATCATGCTTTGTCAACATTCTACACTGTACTGAAGACATTTGTAATGGAGCGTTAACTCTAAACGCACAGTTAGTTAACTTTTTTATTTATTTTTTTTTTTAGGCATTAGAATTTTTAACTGATCTATTCTGACTTGAGTAGCTAATATTGAAAGATTAATCGTGGGCCACATAAATTCATTACGTGGGCCATATGTTGGCCATGCCTACTGCCAGGTTGTCCCATGGGGGGTGAGGAATGGACATTAGGCTGAGTCCTCAGTTGGTTCCTTGCATGCCCGACTGTCTAGGGAATGTGAGGGTCTTTTTCTGGTTGAAAGACCTTATTCAATAAATATTTATTATAATTTAAATTTAATAAGAGATGGTGCTTAATGCCTAACTCTAGTGCCAAATTATTTAGGATTTAATAATCATTAGTAGCAGTAATGCAGTTAAAAAATGTGCATTGAAGATTTCTTAAAAATTTAATTTTTGTATTTGGAGTGTAAATTTTTACTTCATTTATTTTTAATACTTTTTTTTAGAAGTGCAGAAATGTTAGGACATCCAGATTTGAATATAGATGTTAAAAAATTAGGTCCTCTACTTGAAAACAACATAGTGGAAAATCTAATAGATGAGTAAGTTATTTTGATAGAATTTAGTAGTGTATATTAAAATTTTATTATATAATATGAAAATTGAAATCTTTTTACAATTTTAAGGATATTTGAATAAAACAATATTTTTTTTAGTTATATATTGATATAATTTTAATTAATTCTATAATAGGTATCTAAAAAATCTTAATACAAACTATCAAGATTGGATGAAGAATACATTAGCATCAGAAGTTAAGGTAATAAATTGATTAAAAAAATTTTTTTAATTGATGCTTGTTTAACCAATTATTAAAATATTATATATTATACCACCAATGTTTAGCTAAGTTGATTGATAGCACAGTAAGTCACAAATAACTGTGATATTCTAAATTGATGAAAATAAATTAAATGCAATCAATTAAAAAAAAAAAAGTATTAATTTTAGCTATTAAATTGTTGTAATATACAATTTAAAAGAGCCTTTAAAAAGTATTTGAGATACACAGTGATGTGTACTTACTAACCATAATAAAAAAGTTATGAATTAATTTTGAAATTAGCCAATGATGCAAGACCTACAGATAAAGATGCTAGAACCATTGTTTATGTTGATGTAGATCAGGGATGGGCAACCTGTGGCCCACAGTAATATTTTTTGCAGCCCACAAAAAATATGAATAAATATATCAATTTCCCAGCTTCAGGAAGTATGCAATAAAAATTCAAATGTTATTTTCTACAACTTATGTATGTGAATAGTTTTTCCACAATAAATTTAGTAAAAATTAAAACAAAAAACTGGCTAACAGACACATCAAAACTAATTTAAAACTAGCAGTGACTAATATTTAACCAAATATTTCCAATGTATATTATGTTTACATCAGTTCCAGAAGCTAAATTAAGTATATCTATGCTAATTTATAATTATATATGAATAAATAATTGTGATTTACCGGCATTTTTCCCCCCTCTTTTGTATGCGGCCTGTGTCAATTCAAAAGTTTCAAAATGTGGCCCTTACATAGAAAAAGGTTGCCCATTTCTGATGTAGATGAAGCAGTTTTAATGCTCTTGATAAGTGTAACGCATATTATGAAGAGAGGATATTTTTTAATTATTATGTGCAACAAAACATTGCAGTTTTTTTTTTTTTTTATGAAAATGTAGTTAAACTAAGTTGTAAGTATTTTAACATATAAATGTAAACTTATTTAAAATTAAAACTAACCTTATATTACATTATTATTGTATATTACATTTATATTAATTTAAATTATGTAAAATAATGAAAAATTTATGTTAAAATATTACTTTATTTTCCTTATAATTTTAAACCATGTTGTATAATCTCTTTGCGACACTTATTTGTATTTGAGAAACAAAAAGTTATTTTATTTACTAAAAATTGTAGTGAACTTTTTCAGGATTTAATGACTTCTTTATATAGAAGTTTGACTATACTTATATTTAATTGTTATGACAGGAATTCAAATTCTATTAAAATATGGTATTTGACTTTTACTGAAAATTTATTATGTTAAGGATAAGCATCAACAAAAAATTCCTATGGAGTAATTGCCAATTAGTATAGTAATTGTCACTACATATAGATTCCATGTTAACTGCTGCTGATAATATCAATCTTACTATTTGTTAGTCATAATTTCACTAGTGTGTTGTGGTGTTATGAATGGATTGAAACTAAAAGCACAACTATGGTTCCATTTGTAATGCCATAACACGCTAGTGAAATTACATTATAAAGTTAAATGTTAGCATGAAGTGTACTTTTATTTGTTAGTCATTGATAATACTCAAATACTCAAATAGGTATATATCATGAATATTCTATTGTATTTTGTGATGAAGAGAAATCTTGCATAACTTATTTATCATATATTATTTAATATTTACAGGATTGGCAGAGAGAAATTGAACCAGAGAAAGATGGGGAAAATCTATTTCATACTTCATTACCTGTTATTGTTTTTCATATGATTGATCAACATGTAAGTAAAATTTAAATGAAAGATAAAATATTCAAATTCTTAATATAATAGATAAGGACAGAAATAATTTAATTACAATTAGAAATTAACTATTCCCTTATTGTAAAATAATTTTATTAAAATAATTTTAAAATTATGATGAACTATTTTTTATGTATATATAAACTTAATTGTTTATCAAATAAAATTTCATATAAACAGTTTTTGCATAATTTGTTATACAGCATTTATTTATTTTTTTGTTTTAATTTTAACATTTTTATTGCAAAATAAATAATTTTTGTTTTATATTTTGGAGAAGTTATAAGCTTAGTAAACATTTTCTTCAAAATATATCCGTTTATATATAATGATTTACATTGAAAGAAAACTAGTAACTTTTATGCATATAATAACTAAATGTAACACACATCTAATATTAATGTTTGTATAGTATTTTTATACGATATATATTTATTTATAGATTAATCTACCATATTTACTCGCATATAAGATGAGATTTTTATTCATTTATCATAGCTTCAAATTCCTAGGTCATCCAATATGTGTGAGTGAAAGATTCTTTGTGTTTTTGCAAATACAGTAATTTTTGTGAACCATGTATTTGCATTTTTTACTGGATGCTTACCCTCTTGTATTTAAAAATATAAGTATTTTATCTGGGTCATTTGAATCATTTTTGTATATTCTCAGGAGTAAAGATGAATAGCAATAGGAAAGCAAAGCTTTTAAATTGAATTGCAGATTGAAATTCCAAAATCACACAAGAGTCCTATATAAGTTTTAATCCATTTCCATGTGAAAACAGATGATTATTTGGAAATCAGAATTTGGAGAAACTCATAAGTGTAATTGATGGAGAGTGGATTAGACTGTTAAGAATTGGTAAAAAAAAAAAAAAAGATTCCCAATTGTCCAGCTTTACGTGAACAAATTATGTTGTTGATTTTACAAGATTTTTCCTTAAAGTTTAAAATCCAGTAATTTTTGTGAGACAATGTGTGCATTTACATTCATTTGATATTTTACTTGTGATTAAACAAAATAAAATTAGAATTGTATTAATAAATCTAATTTTCTTTATTTTGATCTTTAAAGTCACACCTCATTCTATATGCGAGTAAATATGGTACATATTTTTTTTTTTTCAGTAGTATTTAATAGTAATAATTTAATTCAGTGATATTTTGAATGAGAATATTATTCTGATATTGTTGCATAATTTTAATTTTTTTTTTTTGGTGTATTTCATTTGTTTAAATATGATTTATTTTTCATTTAGAATGATTGATTGTTTTAATGATGATGATGATGATCTGTAAAATGACAAATCCATAAAATAAATAATTTGAGAAATTAGAATAGCTATTGGTGATAAATGTAAAAAGTTATATATAATTTCTTAATAATTATATTTCCAATAGTTTCTGTAATTATACTGTTTCAAAAAAGGTAATACCGTAGTTTGCAATGCAATCTGTCCAAAATTGAATTTAGAAATATCAATCATTTTTTGAAAATTTTTAATATTTTTAAGAGTGTATAACAAAAATCTTTTTATAAGAATTGATCTAAAATTTATTGTAAAATATGGTAAAACTTTAATTTAATGGATAAAATTTCCACTCCATATGTGGAAATTAATCCCTGTTAATTTTAAAATGCTTTTTACATTAATTAAAGTAACAGATTATTTTTTCTAATCCAAGCTGTTAACTTTACACCACAACAGGAATGTCCCAATACATCATAATCCAAACATGAATGAATAGGAAATTTTTTTGTGTTTTATCAAATTTACATTTTTTCTTTTAAGAGCATTATTTACTTGTTTAGTTAAACACAATTAAAGTGTATTTTCCAAAAAATGTTTGTTTATTACAACCTCAGAACTATGATGAGTATAGAAAGTTTTTCTGTGAAATTAAACTCATCATACTTATGTGACTTTAATTATACAAATTATCTACATAAATAAAACCAGATAAACTAACTAATTTGTCAGGTTTTAAAAACGCATTCAGAAAATTACTTTGTTATATAACAAACTTTTGGCTTTAATTTAGATGAAGAAGGGTCCATTAGTCTGTTAAATTGAGGTTTTACTATATTAAAAATTTAAACCATATGAACAACTGTCAATTTGAAAAGCAATTTCTATTTTAAATTACAGTAGGCTAATTTTTTTATAAATTTGAAAATTCATTTGTGTTTAATTAAAATTTACTGCTTTTTTAAATGATGATTAGCATTTCATATTATTAATGGCAAATTCTATGTAACTTTCTAGAATATAAAACTGTACTTAAATTTGATGATCATTAAATCTAATTAAGCTTTAAGTTTTTATTTTGTTAATTAAATAAAAATTAATAATTTTTTTGAAAATTGTATTCTTAGTTAATTGACGTTTGGTATTATTTATATCTTTAAATTTAGTTCAGTTAGGAATAAAATAAAATTCAGTAAAATATAGTAAACAGTAGTAATTGAAAAAGTTATTAGAGACAGTCAATTGTAAGTGAAAAAAATTTACAGAAAAATATCTGAATATATTTTGTTTTTTTTTTTTTAACGAATTACCTCAATTTTTCTTTTGAACTTTAAATTAAACCTGTTGATAAGGGACTGACAGGTCCAAAACACAATATTGTGTAATGTGTATTCAGGTGAAAAATAAAGACTGTTTTTTTCTGATATGTTTTCTTGAATTGCAGAATCAAGTCACCAGTATAATAAGTCCTAGTAATAAAATAAAAGTCCTTGTAGACAAATTATGTACTAAACATAAGATAAGGACACAAAGGCATATAATTTAAAACATCATTTCCTTTGTTGCACATTATCAATGCATCTTAAAGTTTTAGAAGTTTTTTTGTCTTCTGTCTACAAAACTTTATCATCACAGATGCACATACATTGTAAATTGGTGTGGAGTTTTATTTTCCATATTCCCAAAATAAAATTGTTTTTGTATTAATTTAAGCTAAGTTAGATTTTATCAGTCTTTTCAGTCTTTTCTTTTAATTTTATGCTAAACCTTAAAATAATTTCCTTCCATTATCCTTATACTCAGGAGAGATAGAAAAATTTATATATTGCCAAGTGATTTACACGTGTCCCTTTTTGAATTTTCTTTTACTGTAAATGTCTTAAACTTATACTCATGCAATGCTGGAACGATCTCTCTTGCTCCTGTATAAATGTTTTTGTTAAAAACCCTGAAATTGTATTGAATTATTGAATTTTATTGTAAATTATAATGTATTTTGACAATATTGTTAAAATTTTTTTGATTAGAAGTTGTTAATAAAAATATTTTTTTTAAATATTCTATTAAAAANCATTACCCATTCTTGCTGATACCCAGAGAAAGTACAGGTTGAACATGGTGAAAAAATCAAACTTTTATACTACCATCCATTACTTTTTTCTAAACTCTCCTATCAACAGACAAATTTTTAGCCTGGACTAAAGTTAAATTCCTTTCCTATAAAGCCTGCTTAACACTATCAATCCACCTTTGTTTAGGTTGTCCCTTTGGTTTTTTTCTCTTTGATTTTAGCTTTGAATACCTGTTTGGCCAGTTGGTCTTCTCCCATACTTTCCAAGTGGCCAAACCCCCTCAGATTAGCCTTGCTTACTCTCGACTGAATATTTGTTATCTTAAGGTGTTTCCTTATGTCTTCATTTTAATATGATTTTACCACTGTATCCATTTATTAACACCACTAATTTTTCTAAAAACTCTCATTTCTGCTGCTTCTAATTTTTGATCAATTCCCTTATTTCTCACCCAACTCTCAGAACCATATGTCAATATAGGTTTAAAAGCTGTGTTGTACACAACTAGTTTTGTTTTATGACTTATTTCTTTCTTGTTTCCAGCTATATTTGATCAGTTGGCTCCTTGTCTGACCTGCCTTGTTTAAGCTATTGCTAATTTCCAAATCAAACTTTGTCTTTGCTAAAGATTGTTCCCAATATGAGAACTTATTGACATGTTCTAAGCATTTGTTACCAAGTTTAACTGTTAGTCTCTTTCTCTCAACTAATAGCCATAACCTTTGTTTTCTTGTAGCTGATTGACATACTGAAATTCCTGCAACTTTCCTCTAAATTATTTAAAGATTGCTGGAGGTCCTTGGGTTTATTGCTTAGTAGGACAATGTCGTTCGCATAGAGTAAAGAACCAACTTTTATATTTCCCAAACTGAAGTTTGTCAATAGTTTTGATTGTTTTATTAAATTATCCATGAAAATTATGAATAATAAAGGTGACAATGTACATTCTTGTATCACCCCTAGTTTTATTTGGAACTAGTATCTATTTGTCCTTCTATCCTTACAGCTGATTTGCAGTTCCTACACAAGCTTTGGATTTCCCTGAGTTGAGTATCATTGACACCATATTTCTGAACTCAAAAAGTAATCCTCTAGGTACTCCATCAAACACCTTCTCAAGGTCAATGAATCCCAAGTATAGTTTCTTGTTATATTCTCATGCTTTCTCTGTCAATTGCCTTAGTGTAAATATTTAATCTTGGCATCCTCTATTTGGTCTAAAACCTGTCTGTTGTTCTCCTAGGTCACTTTCAACTACTGTATTTGTCTGACCATTTTTTCTAAAATGCTGGCATAAATTTTAGCTTGTACACTGAGGAGTGAGACTCCTCTATAATTACTAGATTCTGTTATACTTTGTTTTTTATGAATTGATGCAATTAAAGCTTGTCCCCAATTTTCTGGAACCTTTCCTTCAGTGGTTACATCACATTATTCAAAGATGTTGTCCTACATGTTTTTGAATAATGTGATGTAACTACTGTACTACTGTACTTTAGCCATCTTTACATATAGTTTGCTGTCTTACATGTAGCTTTATAATCTAATAGGGTGCTTATGGTCTTATTTGCCAGATATCTTTTATAAGCTGCCTTCTTCTCTTGTACTGCTTGACTAACCTCTTTGGTCCACCATGGAGTTGTAACCTTCCTATCTTTGCAAACAACTTCCCCACATACTATTTTTGTCAAGTCTATCAATGTTTCCTTGAATTTTTGCCATTCCTCCTCTAAATCCATTTTGGTAATAGAGATAGTATTAGCTGCAATATTAACCATATTTCTGTATTTAATGGCATTTGGAAGATTGATAATTTTTATATTTTTATCTGTTGAAGTACCTTTTTACATCTCCTACTCCTAATATTGATGATTGTTTTTAATTTGCTCACTACAAGATGATGATCACTATCAACTTTGAAACCTCTAAAGACTCTTGTGTCTTCAACTAAATGGATAATGTCCTTGTCTACAATAATATAGTCAATTATGCTTTACAGATTTCTAGTGTGTTCTCTCCATGTGAATTTGTGACTCTATGTTGGATTATTGTATTAGTAAGCACAAAACTCAAGTAATCTTTAGCCATTTCTGTTATGTTTTCCTTTCTCACCAAACTTACCTAAAATGCTGCCATAGATTTAGTTGTTATTTCCCATTCTACTATTAAGATCTCCAGCTAGAATTATTTTTTCGTTAGTATTTGTCTCTGCTGATCCCATAAGGTCATAAAATTCTTCTGTCTTCCTTCTTTGAACCTTCAGTAGGTCCATAGGCACAGATAAATCTCATTATCCAGTTAAATTTTGCCCAGATGACTGCTAGAGTCATCTGGGCAAAATTTAACTGGATAATGAGATTATCTTCCATAGCAAATGTAAATACTATGGCTACACCCTTCTTGCATTGAGCATCCATTCCCTGAGTAGATCAACTCATATTTATTGTTTAGGCTTGTCTCTCCAACTATAATTTTCTTAGTTTCAGTGATACCTGCCATTTGTACATTATACTTTTTTGTTCTTCAGCTAGTTCTACTTCCTTTCCATTCAGACCTCTAACATTGATGGTACCAACACTGATTTGTGTTCCACTGTGTCCTGGTTCCCTGACCAACACAATGGGAATCTTGTTGACCCAGGTGATGTCCCATCTGTTATGACTTTCTATTGATTTAATTTACCATGTTTAAAAGTTTTCACCAATAAGGAGATCCATTATGGTTGGTTAAGCCTATAATGGCTGCCCATCCTCATTCGTTTTGATAGCCCAGTTAAATGACTATCTCAGGGGTGGCCAACAGGTTTTGCTCCCGGGCCGAATTGGAAAGAGAACTTTTTTCATGGACCGAACCAGAGGATGACCTAGGAAGATTTTGAGGTGGTGCAAGATCTCATTGTGGTGTCACCCCATAGAGACTAAATTGTACATAGAGATTACAGATACATTTTTCACATTATCATGCTTTGTCAACATTCTACACTGTACTGAAGACATTTGTAATGGAGCGTTAACTCTAAACGCACAGTTAGTTAACTTTTTTATTTATTTTTTTTTTTAGGCATTAGAATTTTTAACTGATCTATTCTGACTTGAGTAGCTAATATTGAAAGATTAATCGTGGGCCACATAAATTCATTACGTGGGCCATATGTTGGCCATGCCTACTGCCAGGTTGTCCCATGGGGGGTGAGGAATGGACATTAGGCTGAGTCCTCAGTTGGTTCCTTGCATGCCCGACTGTCTAGGGAATGTGAGGGTCTTTTTCTGGTTGAAAGACCTTATTCAATAAATATTTATTATAATTTAAATTTAATAAGAGATGGTGCTTAATGCCTAACTCTAGTGCCAAATTATTTAGGATTTAATAATCATTAGTAGCAGTAATGCAGTTAAAAAATGTGCATTGAAGATTTCTTAAAAATTTAATTTTTGTATTTGGAGTGTAAATTTTTACTTCATTTATTTTTAATACTTTTTTTTAGAAGTGCAGAAATGTTAGGACATCCAGATTTGAATATAGATGTTAAAAAATTAGGTCCTCTACTTGAAAACAACATAGTGGAAAATCTAATAGATGAGTAAGTTATTTTGATAGAATTTAGTAGTGTATATTAAAATTTTATTATATAATATGAAAATTGAAATCTTTTTACAATTTTAAGGATATTTGAATAAAACAATATTTTTTTTAGTTATATATTGATATAATTTTAATTAATTCTATAATAGGTATCTAAAAAATCTTAATACAAACTATCAAGATTGGATGAAGAATACATTAGCATCAGAAGTTAAGGTAATAAATTGATTAAAAAAATTTTTTTAATTGATGCTTGTTTAACCAATTATTAAAATATTATATATTATACCACCAATGTTTAGCTAAGTTGATTGATAGCACAGTAAGTCACAAATAACTGTGATATTCTAAATTGATGAAAATAAATTAAATGCAATCAATTAAAAAAAAAAAAGTATTAATTTTAGCTATTAAATTGTTGTAATATACAATTTAAAAGAGCCTTTAAAAAGTATTTGAGATACACAGTGATGTGTACTTACTAACCATAATAAAAAAGTTATGAATTAATTTTGAAATTAGCCAATGATGCAAGACCTACAGATAAAGATGCTAGAACCATTGTTTATGTTGATGTAGATCAGGGATGGGCAACCTGTGGCCCACAGTAATATTTTTTGCAGCCCACAAAAAATATGAATAAATATATCAATTTCCCAGCTTCAGGAAGTATGCAATAAAAATTCAAATGTTATTTTCTACAACTTATGTATGTGAATAGTTTTTCCACAATAAATTTAGTAAAAATTAAAACAAAAAACTGGCTAACAGACACATCAAAACTAATTTAAAACTAGCAGTGACTAATATTTAACCTTATNCTTACCACAATTGTGACAAGGAATGGAGAGGCAATGCAGAAATATACAAATGAACATGGTATAGATACTATATCTAAGAGATGCAGCTGATGAAATTTGTTGTTTGTCTAATCTGATGCACAATGACTGATGACATTACATAGTGATGTCATTTCCACATCAACAAGTTCCAGAAGAGCCAGATCATAGGCCAGTGACAGGCATTGGACAGAGAACCATCCAATATATCATAAAAACCTGGAGAGACAGTGGAGAAACATCCTGCAGATGCAGTACATATGGTCAGAAGACCATCTTTAATGACTGCAACAGGAGAACATTGGAATGCATGGCGAAGTCCAATTGCACAAAATTAACAAAGAAACTCACAGATACATTTACAATGGACATTATGAGTAATTCCACATGACCAATGCAATAAGAACTCAAAGGTTTGGATCTGCACAGCTGTGTGGTCACAAGAAAGCCGTTTGTAAATGACATGAAGTGGAGGAAATGTCTCTACTTTATGAGAGAACATTGTAAAGTACTATTTTTAATTTATTGCTCTACAACGATTCTTGTTCCGGAAAGAGCCATTACCTAACGGGTACTTTACGCAGGTTCACGTTTGTTAGTTTGCCAGGCCTGGACTTTTCGCGTGTACTGAAGTAAATTAAGGACAAGTTCGTCAAAAAAATCAATAAAAAATATTGAATAAAGATCTAGAAATAACTATTTACAATATTTATAACAAACAACAAATTTATTCAATAAATCAAATCCACAGTCAACCCGACAAAAACTCAATCTTATTCTAACTTAGAACTATTCCCCTTTGAATTCCGACAANATTTTCCTTATAATTTTAAACCATGTTGTATAATCTCTTTGCGACACTTATTTGTATTTGAGAAACAAAAAGTTATTTTATTTACTAAAAATTGTAGTGAACTTTTTCAGGATTTAATGACTTCTTTATATAGAAGTTTGACTATACTTATATTTAATTGTTATGACAGGAATTCAAATTCTATTAAAATATGGTATTTGACTTTTACTGAAAATTTATTATGTTAAGGATAAGCATCAACAAAAAATTCCTATGGAGTAATTGCCAATTAGTATAGTAATTGTCACTACATATAGATTCCATGTTAACTGCTGCTGATAATATCAATCTTACTATTTGTTAGTCATAATTTCACTAGTGTGTTGTGGTGTTATGAATGGGTTGAAACTAAAAGCACAACTATGGTTCCATTTGTAATGCCATAACACACTAGTGAAATTACATTATAAAGTTAAATGTTAGCATGAAGTGTACTTTTATTTGTTAGTCATTGATAATACTCAAATACTCAAATAGGTATATATCATGAATATTCTATTGTATTTTGTGATGAAGAGAAATCTTGCATAACTTATTTATCATATATTATTTAATATTTACAGGATTGGCAGAGAGAAATTGAACCAGAGAAAGATGGGGAAAATCTATTTCATACTTCATTACCTGTTATTGTTTTTCATATGATTGATCAACATGTAAGTAAAATTTAAATGAAAGATAAAATATTCAAATTCTTAATATAATAGATAAGGACAGAAATAATTTAATTACAATTAGAAATTAACTATTCCCTTATTGTAAAATAATTTTATTAANGGTCTCTCTCGAACTTTAGCGTTAGGTTAGGTTAGGCTAGAATATAGAATATCTATTTATATCTTAATACGCGAGTGTTATATTTATTATCTTTATGAATAATTTCTTAGTTGTTTATTAAATGTGTTCATTTATTTAAACCCGTATAGTCTTTGGACACTTGATCACGACTCATTACTCCTCCCCACTCATATCTTAGCCCTCCTATGCCATCTGACAACCAAGAACGGGTCTTCCCGACCCGTGCAGATTAAGTGGTCATTAGGGTTCACCCAGTGGCCCCCTGCTACTCACATTTACCAACACACACATATTTACTATTCCATCTGTTGTTACAAAATACATTTTTGCTATAAATAGCTCCCTTCTGTTGAAACGAAATAAAATAAAATACAGCTTGCATAAAGCTTTAAGTTATATTTTATTTATTTTATTTGTACATTTGTTGTTACAAAATGCATGGAATAGTAAATATGTGTATTAGTAAAACAGTGCATTAAGATTTTTAATTTATCACTGGAACCACAATTTGACTTATTAGAAAATAGTTATGGAAGGAGGAACCCTAATGGATACCTATTTAATACGGTAGTATTACAATAAAAATAAGAATACATTCTTTGAGTAGTATATACTTCATTAAATTAATTTATGATTATTTTATTTGAGCTTTTAATCCAAGATTACAAGGTCAAAAGCATTTGCAAGTAAGTAATTTGAACACTTTTAATCAAGTTTCTAATGATTATCACAAAACTTGAAAGCACTTGCAAGGTTTCAGACATAATCTTGAATTAATAATTTTGTAATGATGTGTTCAGTAATTTCACTTAATTAAAAAAATGTTTTTGTTTTGTTTATCATGTTTATCATTATTAGCTATAGTGTACATATATGATTAGTTTATCTTATGATCTTTACATAATTTATCAGGTTTTCATATAAATATTAAATAAGTCTTAAATTTATAACTTCAGATTGCAATTGCCAATAATTGTCTTCAGTTCAGAGAATTAGCACAAGGATTACGTCAAAGGTATTGGAAACCAAATGTTCATGACAATGAAGCTGAAAAAATTTTTCAGAAGACTCTCTTCTTATTTGAAAAGTTAAGAGAAGAAGTGTAAGTTAACTTTAAGGAAAATTTCTGTTTTCAGTTTTTTCAATTAACTTTGTTTAAAAAACAAAGTTAATATCAAAAAATAAATACAATAGAAATAATTAAAATTAAAAATTTTATTTATTTTTGTTTTGGCCACTATGTGTATATAAAAACTAGTCACAAGGCAATCCTACTATCTTACCACAATTGTGACAAGGAATGGAGAGGCAATGCAGAAATATACAAATGAACATGGTATAGATACTATATCTAAGAGATGCAGCTGATGAAATTTGTTGTTTGTCTAATCTGATGCACAATGACTGATGACATTACATAGTGATGTCATTTCCACATCAACGAGTTCCAGAAGAGCCAGATCATAGGCCAGTGACAGGCATTGGACAGAGAACCATCCAATATATCATAAAAACCTGGAGAGACAGTGGAGAAACATCCTGCAGATGCAGTACATATGGTCAGAAGACCATCTTTAATGACTGCAACAGGAGAACATTGGAATGCATGGCGAAGTCCAATTGCACAAAATTAACAAAGAAACTCACAGATACATTTACAATGGACATTATGAGTAATTCCACATGACCAATGCAATAAGAACTCAAAGGTTTGGATCTGCACAGCTGTGTGGTCACAAGAAAGCCGTTTGTAAATGACATGAAGTGGAGGAAATGTCTCTACTTTATGAGAGAACATTGTAAAGTACTATTTTTAATTTATTGCTCTACAACGATTCTTGTTCCGGAAAGAGCCATTACCTAACGGGTACTTTACGCAGGTTCACGTTTGTTAGTTTGCCAGGCCTGGACTTTTCGCGTGTACTGAAGTAAATTAAGGACAAGTTCGTCAAAAAATCAATAAAAAATATTGAATAAAGATCTAGAAATAACTATTTACAATATTTATAACAAACAACAAATTTATTCAATAAATCAAATCCACAATCAACCCGACAAAAACTCAATCTTATTCTAACTTAGAACTATTCCCCTTTGAATTCCGACAAAAATCAATCCTTAACTTAGGTACAAAATCTCTTATAACTATAAATCCTAACCATCACCTCAATTATACTAGGAACCTTTTTCTCAACTCAAGACTTTCCTATTCCTCGATCCACAAATCGAACTGCAATCGCCTTGGACTATTTTCCTATTAGACACCTCGTTCGCTGCTACTAGCACACCAACGCTTTCTATGCAGGAGCTCACCTCTCCTGTCTTCACTTAAGCTATGCTTTTTATAGTCTGAGGTGACGTCACAGTTTCTAAGTGAGAGACACCCCTTATTTACATACTTACACGTAACATTCACTTTTTTCTTGTTTATCTGGTAGCTTGATTACCGACAGTACTTTGTTAACCTTTTACAGTCTTTTGTTTAACAATTATCGGGATGTTTCCTTTAAGGTTTAACAAGTTCCTAAAAGTCTGTGGAGTCTTTCCCCCCCTTCAGTGCGGACTTACTATCTGCCGCTTGGGCAAGCACGTGAGTGCCAGTGTTAGCTATGGCGCTTTCTTTTCGTCGTCGGTGAGTTGGTTTTATCTTCTCTTTTTAACTTTCCAAGGTGACAGGTGAGGAAACCTTCATCCTAACTAAACATAAGCCCCAAACAAAAATATAATAAAAGTAAATAAAAATAATGCTCGGACTTGGTTCCTTACAACATAAGGATTGAATTGTGGAGTAATGAGGGAAGGTCATGTGTCAAGATTCACCCTTTTCCAGAAAGATGGGTGGATGCAGATAATTAGGGAACTGTATGAAGTGTTACATTCACTACATCCTACCCATAGTCCAAGTCTCTGGAGGAGTGTAATGATCTAGGGGTGTGTTATATGGCCTGGCCTGGCCTAGTCCCAACATTATACAACAATAAAATGATGTCCACAGATACCTCAAATTGCTAGATGACAAGGTTCTCCAATGATTCATTTTTTTGTCCCTGATGACATGAGATTCTTCCAGGATGAAATGCCAGAATACATTGTGGTCCTCCTGGAACCATTCCCGCATAATCAGAGCACACTCTTTCACACACATGGAATAGCCACTGCAAAACCCTGACATGAACCCCGTCATATACAAGGGGTGTCAGTGTAATTTTGGCTTGTACTTTTAATATCAAACATTTATAACTAAAGAAAATACATTCCACAAAAATTACATACATTTGTTTATTTCTCAACATAATCTCCGTAAACTTTGAGACATTTATCCCAGCATGACACTAGTTTGAACATCCCTTCATGGTACTGTTGCTTGAAATAGTCCAGAATAGTGTTTTGCAATTCCTCCTTATCCACAAAATGTTTCCTCATCAAAAATTTCTTTAAAGGTCCAAATAAATGAAAATCCAAAGGGGCTAAATCCAGACTATACAGAGGATGTTGCAGGACCTCCCAATTCCACTGTGCCAACCACAGTTTGGTTTGCTTTGACATGTGGAGTATAGTCCAGATTGCAAAATTTAGTGCATGTTGAAATCTAGTTAATCTAATTTTTAAAATGTTATTTCATAAAGGAAAATACAGCTTAATAATGCATGATTTTAGTTGTTGCAATTTTTCAAAAAATATTATAATTATAATATATATTTTACTGATACTATGTGTATATAAAAACTAGTCACAAGGCAATCCTACTATCTTACCACAATTGTGACAAGGAATGGAGAGGCAATGCAGAAATATACAAATGAACATGGTATAGATACTATATCTAAGAGATGCAGCTGATGAAATTTGTTGTTTGTCTAATCTGATGCACAATGACTGATGACATTACATAGTGATGTCATTTCCACATCAACGAGTTCCAGAAGAGCCAGATCATAGGCCAGTGACAGGCATTGGACAGAGAACCATCCAATATATCATAAAAACCTGGAGAGACAGTGGAGAAACATCCTGCAGATGCAGTACATATGGTCAGAAGACCATCTTTAATGACTGCAACAGGAGAACATTGGAATGCATGGCGAAGTCCAATTGCACAAAATTAACAAAGAAACTCACAGATACATTTACAATGGACATTATGAGTAATTCCACATGACCAATGCAATAAGAACTCAAAGGTTTGGATCTGCACAGCTGTGTGGTCACAAGAAAGCCGTTTGTAAATGACATGAAGTGGAGGAAATGTCTCTACTTTATGAGAGAACATTGTAAAGTACTATTTTTAATTTATTGCTCTACAACGATTCTTGTTCCGGAAAGAGCCATTACCTAACGGGTACTTTACGCAGGTTCACGTTTGTTAGTTTGCCAGGCCTGGACTTTTCGCGTGTACTGAAGTAAATTAAGGACAAGTTCGTCAAAAAATCAATAAAAAATATTGAATAAAGATCTAGAAATAACTATTTACAATATTTATAACAAACAACAAATTTATTCAATAAATCAAATCCACAATCAACCCGACAAAAACTCAATCTTATTCTAACTTAGAACTATTCCCCTTTGAATTCCGACAAAAATCAATCCTTAACTTAGGTACAAAATCTCTTATAACTATAAATCCTAACCATCACCTCAATTATACTAGGAACCTTTTTCTCAACTCAAGACTTTCCTATTCCTCGATCCACAAATCGAACTGCAATCGCCTTGGACTATTTTCCTATTAGACACCTCGTTCGCTGCTACTAGCACACCAACGCTTTCTATGCAGGAGCTCACCTCTCCTGTCTTCACTTAAGCTATGCTTTTTATAGTCTGAGGTGACGTCACAGTTTCTAAGTGAGAGACACCCCTTATTTACATACTTACACGTAACATTCACTTTTTTCTTGTTTATCTGGTAGCTTGATTACCGACAGTACTTTGTTAACCTTTTACAGTCTTTTGTTTAACAATTATCGGGATGTTTCCTTTAAGGTTTAACAAGTTCCTAAAAGTCTGTGGAGTCTTTCCCCCCCTTCAGTGCGGACTTACTATCTGCCACTTGGGCGAGCACGTGAGTGCCAGTGTTAGCTACGGCGCTTTCTTTTCGTCGTCGGTGAGTTGGTTTTATCTTCTCTTTTTAACTTTCCAAGGTGACAGGTGAGGAAACCTTCGTCCTAACTAAACNGGGTAAAAAAACGAACTTACTTTCCGAACAACCCAATAAAAATGTTTTAACCTGCTATCAATCTTTTGAATTTTGTAAACATATCAAAAAAGGACAAGTAAATGTTTTGAATACCTATAGCCAGATGATTATTATTTTAAATTTGAATGAAGCCATTCATAATTTTAATAATAATAGGTTTATTTTAATGCATCTTGAATTTATTACTATTTACAAAAATCCTGTAAAATAATTTACCTTGTGTTGCATATTGAATTTTAGTCTTAGCTGTATAATTATAAAACTTACATTAATTCATTTTTGATATCTTATTTAAAGAAATTTAATGTGGACTTGAATAACAAAACATTAAAATCAGATAACATACTGTAATAATTTGAGCTTATAATTTCTACATTCAGATTAGACTTCCTTCTAGAAGAGTTATTTTTAGATTTGGATCGTGAATTCAATGATCTTGTGACTAAAAAATGGTAAGATCTGTTTAAAATATTTTATGAATTTTGTTATATAGATTAGAAAATAACATTTTTGTATAAACTGAAAAATTAAAATAGGTTAATGACAGGAAGTATTAAAGAAAATACATTCCACAAAAATTACATACATTTGTTTATTTCTCAACATAATCTCCGTAAACTTTGAGACATTTATCCCAGCATGACACTAGTTTGAACATCCCTTCATGGTACTGTTGCTTGAAATAGTCCAGAATAGTGTTTTGCAATTCCTCCTTATCCACAAAATGTTTCCTCATCAAAAATTTCTTTAAAGGTCCAAATAAATGAAAATCCAAAGGGGCTAAATCCAGACTATACAGAGGATGTTGCAGGACCTCCCAATTCCACTGTGCCAACCACAGTTTGGTTTGCTTTGACATGTGGAGTATAGTCCAGATTGCAAAATTTAGTGCATGTTGAAATCTAGTTAATCTAATTTTTAAAATGTTATTTCATAAAGGAAAATACAGCTTAATAATGCATGATTTTAGTTGTTGCAATTTTTCAAAAAATATTATAATTATAAAATATATTTTACTGATGGGTTGATTTGAATAATTGAATATGTTTATTCAATTATTCAAATCAACCGTNTTTTACGCTAACATCGTCTGTACAGTATGTAAATTAGGTACCGTAAGTCTAATACAGTACTGTAATTTTATACATTTCTTGTGAAAGAAACATTTCTTATTCAACGGCGATAAAAATGATTTATATTAATGATGTCTCCAAAGTTCAACGAAGTTTTCGCAGAAAAATAGGTTATTAGACATCGGCCACAGTTTGGTGTGCTGCTTCGCGACGAAAACAAGCTTGAACGATGGCGATGTCGAATGGTGCACACTCGGTAAGTAATTGCACAATTTTTTGTTTATAGCGTAGTTTATACGGATTATTCCCCAATAAATATACGTATTGGAAATGTTGAGTTGAATTAGTCTAGAATCGATGAAAGGTTTTCTTCCATAAAATTAAATCAGCTGTAGTCCGTAAACTTCACACGTGTTGGGCTGTGATTGGAAGGACTCGTAAGAAATCGGATTCCTAAAGAATGGAACGTATCTATGACCTTATAGGGGGATCGACTGTAACTCACTTTTAATATAACATTGAAAGTATATTGTTTTTGTGTTCATACATTTTTATTTTACTGTAACTCAAATGGAAACTTCTTAGAGAAAAAGCTGAATAGTTGGGACATACCAGATTCAAACCATTGTCCAAAAGCAAGTGAAAAGCAAATAATATCTCTCTTTTGGAAGAAAACTCAAAAGTTTGTAACAAAAATTTTATTGTGCCTTTCACTTTGGAGGCATGGAAGGAACAAGAATACAGTAGACTCAATTTGAGAGATTATTGTAATAAAAAAGAATTGGAAAAAATTTAATAGAACTAATTTTAATGTCAGTAATATTAAATGACAATTGGTTTGAGAATTGATTTTCTTAATATGGTAGAATTTTTCATTGAGAGATCTGATGGATTGTAATGGTCAGGACATTAATAAGAGTTTAAAATTCTGTTTTGTTTAGACAATAATATGCAAAAATTTATTTCATTGTCTTCAAACTTAATAATAAAAGTTACTTATTCATATAAAATGGCTTTTTACTTTGTAATTAGTTTAAAAAATGATGCAAAATGGTAATGATATGTTTAATTCCACTTTCATTAGCAAAATAATAGAAGATAATGCTGTACATAAACAGAACCTGTTTAAAATGACTGCAAAGTCATTTTAAACAGGTTCTGTTTAAAATGACTTTGCAGTCTGTATGACTGTATATGTTTAAAATGACTGCAAAGTCATTTTAAACATATACAGTCAAACTTCTGTTTTTGAATGTTTCACTTTTCAAACAATCAGATTCAGAAAAAGAATTTCAAACTTATAATTGTACCAGTTGCTATAAGATAACTCGCTTGCCAAACAAACTACTCTGCAAGAGCTGGCCACAGATTAGAGAGAGATAGGAAGTTGACCATCTATGTTAAAGAAAGTCAACGGACTGACCAATCAACAACAGGTCTACTGATTCAGAAGTTAGTGGCACTGAGTTTACCTCATGTCTTTAAATGTCATGACATGAATCGTCAATGATATTGCTATTTCAATGTGCATGTGGGAAAGATACTGTTCCTGTTTTTGGTATGTGCCACAGTTGAATCTAAATCAAATTAATAAAAATAGTGTTAATTGACATTCGTGTAATATAAATGGCATCCAAGAATTTGTGTTTAAATATGCTTAAGTTTAAATAACAAAAATTTATATTTATTACATTGCATTTTTATGCATGAAATACAGCTAAAAAAGGCTTTGTTTTGGTTTTAGAACAAGTCTGTTTTTGAACAGCTTTTAGGAATTAATTATGTTTGAAAACTGAGATTTGACTAATTATTTTACTTCACAAAATTTACTAAATAAAAGCAATAAATTTACAGACTTAGGTTAACAATTATCACATCATTTATCTTATCTGTCAAAAAAGACTGTGCAGCCAAAGATGAACTTCTCAGTCACTTCTTAATGAGTGGTTGGTTTCTAAATAACATAATTTGACTAACAGTTGATTGGTTCTCTCTATATATAATACTCAAAGGAGAATTATGAAAAACTGATTAGTTATTCTTATCTGAGCTTTTAAAGCCAATATCAAAGCATGAATTGATATGCACAGAATGCCTTTCTTTTAGTTCTCTCATATTGTGTGTCTCCAATGGTTTGATGTGTAAAGGATTTTTTGTGCTTCCTAAAGATTTCCTTGGTCTAAAGTCACCAAGAATAAGCTATTTGCTAAATTTGTAAATTCAAGTTAAAATTGACAAGTAAAATTCTCATCCACTTTCAAATTGATTTTTAAACACAGACAATTCATAGATAAACTATTATAACTTTGTGCAGATAATCATCATTGTTTATATATTAATTATATTACACTTCCAACTAAAATTAAATAGATAATTATTCTAAATAGGAAAATTTCATTAAAAAATTATGAAGAAAGAAAAGAAACAGCTGAAAAGATTATTGTAGAAGGTGGAAAGTTAAAAAGTTTATTTTCAAGATTATCATCATCTCCCATTAAGGTAACTGTTTTGTATGTAAAATTAGGAAAATAATTATTTATATTTAAAAAAATTATTAAAAAATTTCTAACTACACTTTACCAACCTTTAACATGCAGTCTATTTTATTAACATAATCTAATGTTTTCAGTCAATTAACTGACCTTCATCCGTATCAAACAATTTTTCAATTTATGATGAACAAAACTGATTATAGAACATTTTTAACTTTAAAAGTTCTCTCAACGTCTATTGCACAAGCCTGAAAATGTACAAATATTTGCATACACTAACGATACATATAAAAATAAAAGTAAAAATTAATAAATGAATAGATGATGATATAAATGGCATTGACTAATGCCTATCTTTTATCTATCCGTGTTTTTTTCTTTAGCTATGTTCCCACTCTCCATGCTATGGAGACTTTATATGATTCTCTGAAGTTTATGGCCTGTCCTGTTAGACTGCTCTTGTGAATATGCTAGGCTTCTGCATATTAAATATGTTTCTGGTCCTGAACCTTATGTATTATTTCTACTCTTTCCCATTTCATTGCAACCTCTGTTGGGTCTGCTATAATATACATCACTAAAGCAGTGACTGGTTGCTCATTCTGTACATTCCTTTTGTGCTCTTTTATTCTTTCTTTTAATGACCTCCTTGTAGCTCCAATGTAGTATAATGAATAAATATATATTTTTTTTATACATTAAAATTNGAACATAGTTGTTAAATATAATTGTATGTAGGCTATTCCGCGTTATCTTTTAATTGTACAGTGAAGACACATTTACAGGCTCTGTTTGATTTCTAACGGATTAAGGAAAAAAGTCTTGTTTATTCAAATATCAGTTTATTATTAAGGTTCTGTAATATATTATACTATTTATACGAAGATCGAAGTTTTATTATGAAAGCTATTTTAAGTCAATATGGTTATATAAACAAGACCACAGCTACGTTAACGTATCTATTCAGATTTCAGATAAAGGAGAAACAAGGGAATAGTAAGAATTCAAGATATTTATAGAAGATAAATAAGAATAACATTAGAAAATGTGCAACCCGGTCCTGACAGCTGCCTTCAGATAATAAATTCAAAATCCTATTAACCTTAGTAATACATAAAAAGTTTAATTTTACCAATCTTTATAGTGTCATATTTATGTTTTCAGTATACTTATTTGAAGAAAGATAAAAAAACAATGATTTATTTCTAAAAAAGCTGATTATTATTGATTTTAATTAAATGCCTTAATACACAAATAGGAACACAATATTTATAAACTATCTAACATCTTTTCTTTATGAAATTTTTTCAGCTTTGCTTTTACATATTATCCATAAATTATGATATTTTGATAACTAACTATTGAAAACATTAAAGTGAAATAGGCATATACATATTAAAATTATTGTGTTACAAAGTGATTGCCCAACTGCTTTTGGCATCAACCAAAAACCATAGTATTTTTCTGAACAATTATTTCTCTTTTCTTATTGTAAAAGAGAAAGTGTACTTAATTTACTTTATTAAATTTTAAAATTTCATTTACTTATTAACTTGTTAATTGAAATTTTACTTTATTTGCTAAGTATAATTAAACATTACACAAATATATGGTTTAAGAATTATATCAATGTAATGTAATTTTTCTATTTAGAGGGATTCTCCATTTGATGCCTTGCCCCTTTTGGCTGAAGTATTAAAATTAAAAGATGCAAGTCTTCTGTCTTTGGAAATATCAGTAGGTTTGATCAAATGAAATTTAACTTTATTTGGCATCATTGCATCACTATGTTTTTTGTACAGGGTCTAATTAAGAGGTATCCCGATATTTCTGTCGATCAGTTGACTGCATTAGTGACGCTGCGAGGAGATGTAGGAAGAGCAGAAGCAAAACAGGTTTAATTAATAGTCTTATTAAAAAAACTTCACAGATAATTGAAAATAAAACATTTTTAATATTTCCAGCTTGTGACAGAAATGATTCCTGAAGCAGGCAGTAATACAGAAGTGAAGAGTATATTTTCAGAAATTCAATTCTAGGTAGCATTGTATTTTCATATACTGATCATAACATAAACAAATTGAATTATACTGTACATAAGCATATTTAATATTTGAATAATGTATTAAATTCTGTCTTTAAACAAATGAGTAACTTTTTATAACCAATTGAATTAACTATTATTATTCTATACACAATTGAATGAAAAATTTAAGTTCCTTGACATAAGATATTTTCTGCCAGTCAGTCTGGTGATTATGAATTTGCATTTTAGGCTTAATAGTTTTACATATCATAATACAGTATGATGAGCTAATTTAGGCAAAATATAGATATTAATAGAATAAGTATTTCTGATCCAACTCTTTATTGAATCATATGATTTTGTTAAATACAGTATATTGAAAAGTTGATTTACAATAATTTGGAAACTTCTCTATGTTCACTGTATTTTATACATTCAATGATCATGCAATGAATTGTACACAAATATACCAACTTTCTATATGTAATAAATTTACTGAACCTAGTAAATATTCATTCTTCCAATTGAAATCAAAGACAATTGTAGTCCCAATAACAAAAAATAGATTTCGTAGTGTTTTTCTTAATATCACAAACCAATGACAATACAACTTTGACTTCTCTATACTAATAACAAGTTGAATGCTTATATTCCTTCTATTTACCATCATTAATTATTTTGTTACTATTATCCTTTTAAGACTATAATATAGAAAATTATTAACTATTTTATTGTTAAACAAATACCACATAAGTATTATTAAGTATTGATGATAAAAATCTTTTTTTGGCTGTGAAATATACAAGGAAAGTATGAATTGTTAAATTATTTGAATGGTGGATTTTAACAAATAGCCTAGAAATAATCAAACTTTTGATGATGATAGTTTTTAATATGGATAAATAAGGCAAGTTCATAGTACCTGAGAGAACAGCAAGCAATCAATCAGTTTTCTGTTATTTGGAGCTTTGCATAAAATTGCTATTGAAAACAAATCAGTTGTTTATAACATGAAATTAACCAACCCACAAATTATATTTCAATAATATCCAAGATAATACAATGGTACCTCGGTATGAGTCTGCTTTAGAATACGTCTAATTCGGTATATGTCCTGTTTGGACGAAACAAATTTTGCTCGGTAGACAACTTTTGTTCGGTATATGACTTAATTCAATTGAACAAGTAATTCTATGAACAAGTAGCACTATCGGTGTACTAGACCAAACTAAACATTTGCGCTGCCACGGTTTATAACTTTATTAAATTTCTTCTGATTTTAATTTGTAAGTAAAATTTTATTATTTTTATTAATCATGAATTGCAAAAAGACAAATTAAAAGCAACAGAAAACTAAAAAATGACTAGAATCACAATGGAACTGAAAAAAAAAAAAATTGTTGAGAGATATGAAGGTGGCATGCGTGTTCGAGATTTTAACTGTTGCATACCATATTCCGAGAACGATGATATTGACAATTGTGAAAAATAAAGACATTGATTTAACTCCTTTCCCAACGTTAGCAGATTTAATAATTTCTAAACAGAGATCGAAGACATTAGATCATGTTAAGAAATTGCTTTTGCTTTGGATAACTGAAAAACTGTGATAGAGACAGCATATCAGAAGCATTATTTGCAAGAAAGCTAAAAAGATACATGCTGATCTCATGAAAAATCAAGCAGGAACTAGCCAGGAAAGCAAGGTGTTTAAATCCAGCCATTTTTTTTACATGAGAACGGAATAATCATTTTTACATTACTTCTTATGGGAAAGGTTGGTTTGGTATACATCCTATTCGGTATAAGTCCAAACATCAGAACAGATTAAGGTTGTATACCGAGGTGCCACTGTATATGCTTTGAAATAGAAAATGAAAATAATTATGAACTTTTTAGATATCACAGTTCAAAGATATTTTTTGAAGTGATAAAATTATCATATGTTAAACCATATGATATCAGAAAGGTCATTAATTACTGTGTGTATAAACAAAACTAAATTACATACAAATGGTAGAAATCGAGTATATATGTATATACATACACCATATATTTCATTCAATTAAACAACTATCCCAACAAAATTATTGACAAATAGTTATGTAATCGCACTATAAAACATCTGATGCCTAAAACACAAATAATTTATAGAAAACTAGATTATATCATGCTAATTTTTGAAAACAAAAAATATTAACACCTTATAATAATAATAGTAGTAGTAATAATCTAGTCCCCCCACTGAACAACAAAATCAAAAAACCAATTAATAGTAAAATAGATGTATTGTTAAATAATAATTTAGTTTATAGTTTATATAACCAAAATAATATTACATAAGTGAGACAGGTAAAAATCAGCCCATATATGCTCTTATTCTGTATAATTATAATGTCTAATTACTAGTGTCTGGATTTTTGGGTGCTGCACACACTGTCTTTTTTTACACTCTGCCCCTTTCAAAAAACCAACTATGTTGGTTTTAATGCAGTAGGCCCATTCATTGCCAAATTAATGACTAACTAAATGATACATTTTGCACCCAGCTTCCCCTTAAATTAAATACTAACTAAACAAAACTAAACTAAACGATATATTTTGCACCCAGCTTCCCCTTTTTTACATTTTCAAAGAATATGTTTACAATAGCAAGGTTGCGGCCAAAGCTTTCATCTCTAAAACGTGAATGTGGAGCACTGCTATCTTGTAAGTGGTGCTTGACGTTCACGTTTTAGAGATGAAAACTTTGGCCACAATCTCACTAATTGTTTCTTTTTTTGGTGGTTTTTATTCATTCACTTGAGGGGAAAAAACAAATTCGTTAAACCGGACCACATATGATGAAGAAAAAAATACGATAATTAGCTTTCTCCTTTTCTCTCAACAAAAGAGTATTTTCTGGACTAAACCTTAGGGTTGTTCTAAGAATGTAAACAGATTCACTGAAAAGCTGCAACACTGTTCTTTTCTTAGAAAAGAAAACACATGTAGAAAATTCTGTATTGATGTCACCTTACCTGACTTGTGAGCATAACAGTTTCAATTTCCTTTGTTCAGTGTCTGCAACATTAGAAAATGGCAAAATTGTCTGCATCTAAATTGAACATTTTTAGCAAGTAAGTTTAAAGATGAAGGCTCTAGACAGAAAAGTTCTTTGCTGTTCCATTTGCAATTATGTGATTTCAGTTGTTGTGAAACCCCAAGAAATGAAAATCACAGAGAAGGCAGAAATTTACAGGGCCGCATTTCAAATGGGCGAAGAATCTCAGAAGGCAACTGATACATTTTATGCAGATTTAACACCTGCTCTTCTTCAGGCAAATATACCTTCATATAAGGTAAACGATCAAGCCTTTAAGTAATTTCCAGAAATATACAGAAAAGCTTGTCCCCGACAAGAGCACGCTTAGAAAAAAATTAAGTGAAACCAGTTTATAATCAAACCACATTAAAATCCTGGACATTGTCGGAGACAATCCTGTAGTGTTCATACTGGATGAAACAATGGATTCCACAAAACAGTACATGCTGAACATTCTTGTTGCACCTCTGACTGAATGCTATGTACAATCAGTGTTGTTCAAAATGTACTAACTTGAAAATACAAACTCAACTGCAGTGTCCCAAGCTTTCAGTGATGTTTGCATCAAGTTGTGGCCAAATGTGTCCAGTACGAAAAGATTTGGCTTGTTACAGATCAAGCATCTTACATGTCAGCATTCTCAAATTTGAAGTGCATCTACAACAACATAAAGCATGTAACTTGTCTTGTCCATACCCTACACCAAGTATGTAAACATATTCATGTAGAATATAACAAAGCCGACGACTTCATTTTGAAAATGAAAATGGTTCTTCTCAAATGCTCTAGTTCAGACCACTTGTACCAAGACATAATTGGGCTGCCATTACCACCCACTCCAGTAATCACCTGTTGGGGAATTTAGATAAACAGTGTGGTACTGTGAGAAAATCAATGCATTTATCAACGAACTTCCTGGCGATTCTGCTGCCATCAACAGTGTCAAGAAACTGGTCACTGATCCAGTAGTGACCACAGAGCTCTACTCCGTGCATTCGTATAAGTTATTGGTTCGTATAAGTTATTTCCAACTCATTGATTTTATCAATGAGTTGGAAAGACGTAGAACTGAAATATGGAATCAGTGGAATGTTGTAAGTCATCCTGGTCAGTGTTGGTCTTCGTACGCGTAGTGGGTGCGTATTGTAAGCATTGATGTCGCTCAGACGGTGTGTTAGACCATGGTAACTGTGCTTGGCTGCTATCCTCTTGATATAATTCAATTCGGTGTTGAGGGCTTGCGTGGTGGACGAGTGGGAAAAGGCCCTTTTAATCAAAGTATTAAATGCTGCTAATTCAATTCGGTGTTGAGGGCTTGCGTGGTGGACGAGTGGGAAAAGGCCCTTTTAATCAAAGTATTAAATGCTGCAGCCTTGTAGGTGAATGGGTCGGATGTATATAGAAGACCAACACTGATCAGGATGAACGTACACGCCTCCCAGTCACCTTTAACCCATATGTTAAAGCGATATACGCTGAGATTGCCGGAAAACAACAATTACAAATAGCCTATAGAAGATGCCCAACAATCTATGATATCCTCAGAAATGGAAAAGGCAGTCCAGTTCGTAGCAGGCTTCCTTGCGTGTACTCTATCCCGCTGAAAGATAACAGATGTAACGAGAGCCTTGTCTATATCGGCTCAACCAAGCGATCTTTAAATACCAGAGTGTAAGAGCATCAAGCAGACCTTCGGCATGGGCGGTACACCACGGCCCTAACCACCTTTGCATCCGATCCCAATATAGAACCGGAGTTCGACAAAGCTGACATCATCGACACTACGCCCTACCTGGAACATCTAAAATGGCGGGAAGCTATATCCATTTTACAAATTATACTTCAGAAGTTAATCTAGTATAAAAAACATTCGATTCATCACGACACACAGTCCTCAGAAAAACACCACACAAAAATGCCAGTGCTGCCAGCTAAAAAAAACACCAAGAAAAAAAATATTGGAGTAGCCCAAGATATAGCCAAAGATTGCAGCACCACAGCACTAGCGAAAATTTAAATTTGCCAACTGGAATTCTTTTGGATAAACGACGCTGTACTGTAATTTATTTAATAAACTTCAAAAATTTTTGCAGCAATCAGTTGAAAATTGCCAGTCTAATCTATGCAATGCACTACATGTTATGGAGCCCTCACCTTTGGAAAAGCCAAAAATAAACTGATATTTTTGAGAGAATCTACAAGAAGAAAACAGCATTCTATATAGTTAAGTGTCCTCTTACCATGTTTCCTAAACAATCAACTGTGTAAGATTTTCCATAAGAATTTAAGGTCTGTATTGTGAATGATCGTAGACCAGTATCTTCAATATTAAAGTAAGGTTTAACATAATCTTCATAAAACTTCATAGGATTATGTTAAACCATACTTTAATATTGAAGATAAGGTCTGTATTGTGAATGATCGTAGATCAGTAAATTCTTACAGCAGCATTCTATAACAGTATTCTTACCTCAGATGCCAAACCTGTGGCCTCTAACTCTGAGAATGATAACCCATCATCAGAAAGTGATTACTTGGATTTGGAATAGAGTAGAGTAAATTATCTGAAATAATTTACTCTACTCTACAAGGATGGGACAATTTTGGATAACCAACAACATTTATAGGGAAAGAATAAAAAGATTCAAAGTAAAAATATTAATTCCAGTTCTAGTATTGTAAAGGCATAGAATTTTAATAATTTTGTGAGGGTCATATGATAGTTATGGACTTGGGAGTTGGGGACTTTAAGAGAATGGAGGAGGAATTTGATAGGCAATATGAGAGCAAATCTCTTAGATATAGTATTAGATAACAATGAAAAGATTATTTAAAAGTGATAAATAATTATTAAACAAGGAAATAAACTAGTCACCAAAATTGCACCTGCTAATTTCACAAAGTTGGAGAGAGAGTGAGTTACAATCAGTTTTTAAGAGGTACCTCCTCACATACAAAGTTGATTAGGCTCAATCATCATCTTGACAAGAGTTCAGTTGTCTTTTAATTGTTAACTTGATTGGAAACATAATCCTTTTAATCATTCCTTGTAAATCATCCTGCAACCTTTCCCTAACATCAGCTCACATTATAAAATTACTGGAATTAGTGCACTCTGAAGTTGATTTTAGAATAATTACTCTCTACTGCACTAAAATTTCACTTTCTTAAATGACAGGTATGTGATGATTTTTGTTAATATTTACAAAATTACCATTTAATCTAAATTCCTTTGGGAATCTTAGGATTGGGTGAACTTGTTCTCATTTACCTTCAAAGTGCTCAATGTGGTAAGCTTTCTGAGAAGGCCTTTAGAAGCTTTAGAAAAGGGAACCCTGCTTTAGGCACTCTCTCTCCTTTTATGTCTTTCCTTTTGTCAAAAACATTGTCTTCTGACCAAATTCTCGATGCAGTTCCTAACAATCGTCTAATCTAATATTTTAAACAGGAATGACTTAGGGAAGATGTGTGTCAGCTGATAGGAAGTTAGTAGTTGATAAAAATTCATTAACTTCCTCATTGAAATTTGCAATGTTACACTTGGTTATATCTTCTAACAAATATTAAATATTTTATAAATTCCTCAGATTATTAGAAATAATGCCCCTTGTTCTCACAATTTGAACAACTTAAAAATTAGTGCTTATTTTAATAAGTAGACAGTCTTTCATTGCAATCTACAATGTACTGAAAATTTTACATTTAATTCAAAATTTTTTTTGTGAGTACAGTTCTTAACTTTCACCATAATATTTTTTTCTTACTTGCCAATACTGGTATAAAATAAAGCAAAACAGGATAGAATCTTCTAAAGGCCCACTATTGAACTGACAATTACATTATGAAATTTCTGGAATTAGTGCAATTACTCTCTACTGCAATAACTTTCTTAAATGACAGGCACGTGATCATTTTCATTAATAAAATTTACAAGATTACATTTTATTTTAAACTAACAGGAATATTGAATATTACAAAGGCAAAAGGCAATACTAAGTAAAATTCTTGCATTACTTTTTATCTATAGAAAGCAAAGTAAAAATTTTTATGTTGTATTACATAAAAGTACATTTAAATCATGCTAAATACTAAAAAGATTATTAGAAAAGTAGACATTAATTAATGCATATCAACTATAATTGGATTTACCTTCTTTTTCCAGATGTTTCACTGAAATTGAACAGATCTGCCTTCAGATTTTTTGTTAATTTAACAAATGGATGAAATAAGTAAATAGTTTGATAATAGTGGACTTTTTGTTTTCTATATTTAACTGTTTCTGCCTTACGGGCACTAAGAGGGCTGTTTGCTGTACATATAATAGGGGCAGTTGTGTAGTGAGGGATTGGGGGGACACATATCTAGGACAGAGTGCCCACAAAACATTTCACTCCGAATTACTCCGACTACATCAATAGTGTGTGATAAGTGTTCCATACAGCCAAAAATTAGTGCTGATAGTTATATTGTAACATAAGGACCAAAAGCAATTCATGAACATTTCTATATGTTACACATGCTCTTATGTTTTTCATTCCACCAAAACACTTACTTTCTCAGAACTCTACTGGGTCTCACGTCTTATGAATTTAAACCTACAAAATGCGTGTACAAATAACTGCACCTAAATACATTTCTTGTTCCAGAATGGAGAACATTTTCAAGAATATTTATTGAGATACCCATTGAATGGATTACTTTTCTTATATCTAGAAACTTTTGTCTGTTCAGCCTGTTTCGTGGTTTTTTTTTTTTTTTTTTTTTTTTTTTTGTTTTTTTTTTTTTTTNGTGTACAAATAACTGCACCTAAATACATTTCTTGTTCCAGAATGGAGAACATTTTCAAGAATATTTATTGAGATACCCATTGAATGGATTACTTTTCTTATATCTAGAAACTTTTGTCTGTTCAGCCTGTTTCGTGGTTTTTTTTTTTTTTTTTTTTTTTTTTGCTTTAAGAATCTAAATTTAACATCAATTGCAATTTTACATCACTGGAAGATTACTGTATATTTTATAGAGAAATGTACATTTAGAGCATCGATTATCCGAATCAATTGGGGACTGAGGTTGTTCAGAAAATAAATTTTTCGGATAACCGATTATGTATGAAAAAATATACTATATTAATAATGTATCGTGTGTTTAAATTTTTCTTCATTGCGTGTCGCTTTGCGTTGAATTTTCGTCGATGTTAAGCCTAATTAAAATTTTTATAATATAGTTGACCCCCCCCATAACACTATTTATAATTCTGTTTTATATGATTTCCATGTTGTACGAGTCACTTAGATTTTACAAATACGTGAGCTGTTCACAGTCCAGCACATGTATTTGTAAAATCTAAGTGACTCGTACAACATGGAAATCATATAAAACGGAATTATCAACAGTGCTATAGGGGGAGGGTCGACTGTAATAATCATGGCTATTGTATCATTAAAAATTATTTCTTTATTTTGTACAAACAAAATAAATATTGATATATTGAAAAATATAAAAACAAAAAAGTTATACTTTAGAAGTTAATCTAGTATCAAAAACATTTGATTCAGCACGACACAGTCCGACTGGAATGCTTTTGGTTGATCGTCATTTGGATAATCGATGCTCTACTATATTTGTATTTGCTTAATAGTGCCTTATTTGTTAACAATAGTAAATAGAAGCTGAATAAACCTGAAAAAATTTTAATAAAAATGAATCTCAAAAGATAATAGGTTCTAATATTTTGTTCTCTGCACATTTACTTTTTACAAAAAGCAATGCAGGAAACCATAATCTTTCATCAAACAGATGTTAAAGTGAAAAAAATATTTTTTCACTTTACATTATGATTTTTAAAACTACAACAATAATAATTGCCAAATGTGAACTATTTGTGGCACAGATTATATGCATTTTTTAGTTTGATCTTGTTTATATCTGGTGGATATGGGGAGACACTACACACTTTCATGCTGACTACTATAAATCATTTATTGCAACAAAACAAAATACATTTGCTTAATAAAATTTATTATGAATTAACCATACAGTACAGCACCACAGACCGAAACCAACTGTTTGGTTTTCAGTAGAAGAGTAAAGATTTTTTGGTGTCGTAAATTTCGAGCACTCTCATGAAAAGCTATTATCAACATGTCTCATCAACCTCTCAGAGGCTACGTACTGATCGTCTCTATGTTTCCCAAAATAAGGACGACGGTAATCTAATCCTGCCGTCGCCGACGATTTCTAATCATTATTAATTTGATATTTCTGATTCTGTAGAGGCTTCTTAGTCAAAATTTAAATATGTGAACTTAATCGATTCGAGGGATTGCATAATGGTGGCACAGATAGATTTGCATGAATTTACAGGCAAAAATTAATTCTGGAAAGGCAGAAACAATCGAATCTATTCATTTTGACTCGACAACTACTGTTTTCATTCCTTTGCCAGTCCAAGTAGATTTGTATTGCTCGGGAAGAGGATACTCTGCCTAAATTAAGAAGAGAAAGAGAAAGTTAATAAAAAGTTCAATAGTTCATAACAGACATTGGTCTGAATTGCAGAAAATCAACATTACAGAAAATTCATTTGATTAATAGAAAGGAATAAGCAAATATTATATCTGTTGCCTTGCCTTACTTTTAAAAAGTACTGTCAGAGAGATACTTACAAAATCTCCATTTCCTAGTGGAATAGAAACGTTCACTTCTGATGACTTGGAAGTAACAATTTCTGCATCAAGAGACTTGGGACTCAAATATATCAAAACACCATCAGTTTTATCAATAGCAACTGTTGGCACTTTCCCCATTGACTATTCAAAATAAAAAAGTAGTTGAATGCAAAATGATCATCAGTTGATTAATATTAAAATTCTATTTACATAAATCAATAACATGTGATGTGATATACCAATAACTGTACTTTGTGTCATCATTGACATGCATCTAGAGTGGTTTCTGAATGTGTGTTGCGGAAATAAAAAATACTTTTTAAATTTTGAATAAGCACACTTTAAACTTTCATTTATCTTTAATTTTTTTAATTGCTGGCCGACCGAATGGAGGAGGTGGTATTCACTAAAATGCCAACTGTTGCAACATCTGCAATACTTCTGTCACAAAAGTTTCACGCATCTGTGTATAGGTATACCTCGACTTACGTCGTTCCTGATTATATGTTGTGGTATACCAAGAAGATGAAAAAATTTATTTTTCATTTTCTTGGTATACCTTATTCAGTTCATAACACTTAATTTATTCCAGTACAGTGTGTAATATATGAAATTGTGATGGAGAAAAAATAATCTGTTGTAAACTTTTCCAAAAGACCAACCTCATTCAACTGCCAAATTCATGATTGAACAAACTGGGATGTCTTAACAAGGTTTGACTATAGATATCTTTAAATTACTTTAATGTAATATATTTTATGAAAAATCATTTACCTGAGCTTGTATACTTTGGCAATTTATAACTTCTACCACAGATACAATATCATCAAAGACTAAAGCAGTCTTTTTGCAATTATCTGAAAATTAAAAATAATTTTTATCATCAAAGTTTTTTTTTTATTAACTTATTCTAAAATTGGATATTATAATAATAATATATTGGAAATGGAATGATATGCTCTATTATACTTAGAAGTTTAAATATAAAACTAATTAATTTCAAGTATAATAGAATATATCATTCCATTTCCAATATATTATTTTTATTATTATTATATCCAATTTTTTTTATTAACTTATTCTAAAATTTTATATATATATCAAATTTAATTAATTAATCTTACTTCTTAATATTAACAACAGATACATCACATTTATTACTGTTTTTATATAGTATATATTTATGTAATTTGCACATCTCTGATCATTATTTTACTATTACTTTCTTTTAAACAATAAATATTTCTATGAAATATTATTATTGTTTCATATTTAATAAAAAATACTATATTTACCATTGCAATTTGTTTTTTTGATTTCATTAGATTGGAAAAATTAAATAATTTAAAAGAATAATGTTTTATACATTAAAGATTTTGAAAATTTTCATAATTGTAAGAAGATTGATTGTAAAATCTAAAGTGAAAAAATTTTTTAAGACTGATCAAAATATGACAAACTGAAGAAACATACAAAGTCAGACAGGATAATGAAAGCTAGTTCTTATAAGTACCTGATCCTACAGGAAGTTTAGAAACTATATGTATTTACCTAAAACAATAGAATTAATTTTTCCTTGTACTGTAACCAAACAATCTTGGCATTTATAAACAATAACAGATTGATTCATCTCTGTCTGTGATATCACAAGTCCTTTATTACCAACCTGATGTTCCTATAATAAAATAAATTATAAATGTAAATTTACATAAATTTACATATATTAAAATAAATATATATATTTAATTTGTTTGAAAAAAAAAATAAAAAAAAAAATAGAAAAACTGCTAATTTGTTAACTCACAATACACCATTTTTTCCCTTCTAACTCAAATCTTGGAGGCTTAGTTTGCAATGGAGCAGAATTCACTGGTTTGAAAGGCCGAGGAGCTGTTGGAGGAGGACGGTATGGAGTGGGTTGAAGTTTCAAATTAGGGTTTTTGTGAGTTTGCTGATCAGCAGTCACTTTCTTTAAGCCTACGAATCAAATTGTTCTCTTTTAATCATATATATTAATATATTATCAAATTAATTAATTACCTTTGGTAATATCTTCGCCCCTATTAATTTCACGGAAAAGGGCTGCTCTTGTATCATCTGCTTGATTAGTTGAGACATCAGCAAAGAAATCAGCAGGTGGAGGAGGCGGAGGTGGAGGAGCACCAGTAGAAACAGACGAGCCAAGACTGTTTGCATCACATCCCTAATTTAAATAATTTAAAACAATTTCAATTAAATATTTTAAATTGGTGATTTGCTTTTTGTCCTTATATTAAAATCTATGAGCACTAAGTTTTGACTCTAAGTTCTATGGAACTTAGTTATCACACACTATTGATGGTGGAGTAATCACAGGTTTATTATGATGATGGTATGCATTAGGGACAGTCTGTCCCTCTTCAGCCATGCTTGTTAGATGAGTTTACAGGATGTACTATTTAAACTCCTGTAAATCCACCAAATTGTAACAAGTATGACTGAAGAGGGACAAATAAACTGTCCAAAATGCAAACCACTGTTATAATAAACCCATAATCACCCATTTCTGTGTGATTACTCCGACAACAATAGTGTGTGTGATAAGTCCCCCACAGAGCCAAAACTTAGTGTTCAGATTAATATTAATTAATTAAAATATTTATGAATTAAATTAATAAAAAATCATCAATAAAACATTCAAAATATTTATTACTATAAAAATTATTACAGTAGGATTTAAATTCATACGTTTGGATTCCATGTGAGGCCAGTTGTATAGAATTTTTTTATGTATGCTTGCAATTCATTTAAAACTTGTAACCATGCTCGTGCCCAATCAACATGAGTTTTATCTCTAAAGAACAAAAAAGTCAAATGAAACATTCAGAATACTGTGTAAGTTCATTATAGAATATAAAAATGATTAAAGAAATGTAATTTTTTAAATTTTATTTTTAATTTGTTAGAACTTTTCCATATAATCATCAATATTTCACTTTAGTACAGAAAAAAAACCTCTCTCAAACATTGAAATAACCATAAGTTATTTTATTCTTTAACAAAGAGAAAATTTTTAAAAAGTGCAATATATTTTTAAAATGCAATTAGAAAACTGAACATATAGATAGTACACCTGTACAAGAAAAAAAGAAAAACAAAACATCAAACAGCAGTTTAAATAATAAAACACAGTAAATAATTTAAAACAAATAGAATATTATTGTAAATTGTTACTTTATAATTAAAATTTTCAAAAAATTTCAACTATCTCAATCTTTCAGATAATTCTTAAAGTAAAAAAAAATTATTTACATTATAATTTAGATTTTTGTTTGTAGACTTAAGTAGATTTTAATTTTAAATTATTTCATGTAGCAAACTGTTTTAAGTTCAAATCAAATTTTTTAATCAACTTTAGTATAAGTTCCTACTTACAAGTTGTTATTCTTGAAAAATTTAATTTATAAAAATTGGGGTCAGAGTTACAGAAAGAAATTTCTGTCTTACAAAGAATCAAGGTTATTTGTTTCATTTTATTTTGTTTTGATGTTTAGTAATATGTACTTAATGAAAAATTCAACACACTGTATGAAATCATTCTATTCAATCATATTTTTGCTCATTATTTNAAAATCCTAGAAATAAATAAATTAATTTTTAAATACTGTAATAAATTTAATACTATATCATAAAATTATATACATAAATATTTTATACCTGAATATATTCAATTTTATTACATGTTGGATTTAATAAGTTGAGTAAGACATTTTGAGGTGGTTGCTTAGCTTTAGAAGCTATAACAAGAAACTCTCTTTGTGCTTTGAAGGCTTCATTTACCATATCTACCTAAAGTTTAAAACATTATCAGTAAATAAAAATTTAAAATCTAAAATAATTTGTATTCATATTTTTAATTCAAATTCAAAATATTTAGGACTACTTTATATTTTTAGCAACTGCAACAGTCACTTCTATGTAATGACTAGTTTGAAAGCACTGATTTAAAAAAAAACTTAGCAATTACAGTCATCGGCTTGATACAGCCAGTCAAGAAATATGCAGAAAAATCACTAAGTTATGCATTAATTTAAATGCTCAATTAATATAAAACAAAAATTAAAAATATTTCTAACATACTGAAAGATTGCAGATAATTTGGCATATATTACAAGAAAAAAAATTACAAGCACAAGTATTTATTTCAAATACATAAAAAATTTACTGTTAAAGTTTAATTTATGGTAAGTAGCATTTTACTACTTTTCCATATAATCATCAATATTTCACTTTAGTACAGAAAAAAAACCTCTCTCAAACATTGAAATAACCATAAGTTATTTTATTCTTTAACAAAGAGAAAATTTTTAAAAAGTGCAATATATTTTTAAAATGCAATTAGAAAACTGAACATATAGATAGTACACCTGTACAAGAAAAAAAGAAAAACAAAACATCAAACAGCAGTTTAAATAATAAAATACAGTAAATAATTTAAAACAAATAGAATATTATTGTAAATTGTTACTTTATAATTAAAATTTTCAAAAAATTTCAACTATCTCAAACTTTCAGATAATTCTTAAAGTAAAAAAAAAATTATTTACATTATAATTTAGATTTTTGTTTGTAGACTTAAGTAGATTTTAATTTTAAATTATTTCATGTAGCAAACTGTTTTAAGTTCAAATCAAATTTTTTAATCAACTTTAGTATAAGTTCCTACTTACAAGTTGTTATTCTTGAAAAATTTAATTTATAAAAATTGGGGTCAGAGTTACAGAAAGAAATTTCTGTCTTACAAAGAATCAAGGTTATTTGTTTCATTTTATTTTGTTTTGATGTTTAGTAATATGTACTTAATGAAAAATTCAACACACTGTATGAAATCATTCTATTCAATCATATTTTTGCTCATTATTTTTTCACATCACATTGGTATAACATGGCTGACATAAGTGACATCTTGTTGTGTGTGATGAAATGACAACAGATGTCACTACCAGGTATGTATTGTGTGATCTTATATTGCCAATAAATTACTCAAATGATATAGCCATTATTTTCTGAAAGAGAATTAGTTAAGTAAGAAATAAATTTTTAAATAATTCAGTTAAATCATTATAACAATACAAGAACAATAAGACTTTACAATAAATTATATATTTTATAGACATTTAAACACAATGTATTTTTAATGATTTACATAAATCTCACTTATTTCAATGATTTACCAAATAATTATTCAATAATTGGAAAATTAAAACAAAGTGTCAGTTTTCAAAGAAATTTCTTACTTGTCTTTGTAATCCATTAGAACTCTGTTCGTATAGAATTGACTGGCATCTGCCATCTCTTTCACAAAAGGTCCAGGTGTAGGAGTCTAAAAAAAAATTACCATCTATTAAAAATTTTTTATATATACTTGAGAACTGGTAAATTATATTAATAAAATAAGGATAAACTAAAGCTGCATTGTTTCAGAGATTTGGAAGTGAAAAGTAACATTTGTCCAATCTTCCAGATATCTCCATATAGTAATGAATCTACATGGTAAGCAAAAGTTATAGGTTCAAGTCGCATTCTGAATCAATTAATAAGCCTTACTAATTTAAATTGTAAAATAAATTATTTTCAGCCTTTCAAACAGGATTTATATTTGAATATTCTATTGATTTCATACAATATAATAAATTTGTTGCATGTTTCATTATCTAATTTCAAATTAATTTATATGCTAAAAATATGAAAAATTAAGATTAATATCATACAAGGAAAATATTACAGGAATGATATATTAAATTGTTCTAGTGTAATAAAAAGAAAAATTATTTTAAAATAAATAGGACTTACTTTTAATTTTTAATATTAAAACTATAATAAATCAAAATTTATCATAGTTTAAAAATTAATTTATAATATTTATATAATATAAAACATTCAGCATTGCCAACTTTATACTTACAACAGTTACCCATCCTAAAGCTGATACTGATTCACTGATAGCAGATAAGTGATTGAAAAAAATGCTTGCTCGATTGCGCTGACGAAAATCCTAGAAATAAATAAATTAATTTTTAAATACTGTAATAAATTTAATACTATATCATAAAATTATATACATAAATATTTTATACCTGAATATATTCAATTTTATTACATGTTGGATTTAATAAGTTGAGTAAGACATTTTGAGGTGGTTGCTTAGCTTTAGAAGCTATAACAAGAAACTCTCTTTGTGCTTTGAAGGCTTCATTTACCATATCTACCTAAAGTTTAAAACATTATCAGTAAATAAAAATTTAAAATCTAAAATAATTTGTATTCATATTTTTAATTCAAATTCAAAATATTTAGGACTACTTTATATTTTTAGCAACTGCAACAGTCACTTCTATGTAATGACTAGTTTGAAAGCACTGATTTAAAAAAAAACTTAGCAATTACAGTCATCGGCTTGATACAGCCAGTCAAGAAATATGCAGAAAAATCACTAAGTTATGCATTAATTTAAATGCTCAATTAATATAAAACAAAAATTAAAAATATTTCTAACATACTGAAAGATTGCAGATAATTTGGCATATATTACAAGAAAAAAAATTACAAGCACAAGTATTTATTTCAAATACATAAAAAATTTACTGTTAAAGTTTAATTTATGGTAAGTAGCATTTTACTAGTACTTAAATTATTAGTTTATTATTTAATTATATTTAAAATTAATTTAAATATATTTTAAAAATTTCAATATAAGATTTGTTTTAGATCACTGACACACATTTCTCCCACATGCTTTTTGTAGAAATTTATTCCTACAATGTTTAGGAATCAAATTTGAATCATCTGGAAACTATATTATAATTTTAATTATTGTATTATAATGCAACAATTATTATAATTTAATTTATTTTTATATTTATTATATTTGTATTTATTGTTTTTTGATCTATGCATAGCAAAGTTGGGAAAATAAATTCAGATACTATTCAGGATTGAATAGATAAGCTTCTAGTTTTAATCAAAAGGTAATAGACCAGAAGATACAGTATAATTTTGATAAGTCTGCACTTTTTTAAATATAAATTTTTAAAAACAATTAAAAATGAGAATACTATTGGAGGAAAAATGAATAAAGATCATGTTAGTTTTTTTATGAATGCACTTAATGAAAATACCACTTCTTACAGGAAGATTCAAAAATCCTAGATGCTTTAAGGAACAAAAAGATCTCTATTTATTATTCAAATACAGCATAGACAATATTAAAAACAGGAAAATTCTTTTAATATTAGATAATGCTTCCTCATATGATGAAGGTATCATCCAGAGTTTTAAATTGAAATTTAGGCAGAGAGAACTATTTAATCAAGTAATGAAAAAATAAAATTATTGGTTCAGAAGCATAAAAAAAACTTTATTAAATGCTATAGAATAGTTTCTAACAAGAAAAGATGTAAAAAACACTACAGTTTTACTAATTTTATTAAAACTGGTTTATTTATTTTCATACAGCTTGTACAGTGAAAATAAAGAGGACTTCATAGTCACTCTTGTTCTCAGTTGTGAAGCACTAGCACGAATTTGTTGGTTATTACTTAAAGAGCTAAATTTTGAATGTCACAAACTACAGAAATTTTTGAATTTGGAAATTTTGAATTTTGTCTGCTGATAAAAATCACTGAATATACTACTGAAGAAAATAATGTGAAGGTAAAGATACCATTTGCATAGATAAAATAAAAACATTTTATAAGTCATCATGGTCACTCAAGTAATGATAAAACTTTGATTTAAATGGTGAATTTCAAAAAGTACAGCCACAATTGAAATTTTACCAGAAATCTGTAAGCCATTTTAATAAATTGGAATAAATAATTTTAACTTATAGCAACAATGTATTTTTAAGCACTACAAGCTGTGCATTTTCTTTCTTCAAGTTTTAACTAAGAATTACTCTCGGTTTCTTTAATTTATTGACAAGTGAAAAAGTTCAACCAATGGGGGGGGGAAAAAAGATTTTTCAGGATTATTCTTATTGTTGTTCTTAGTGAACATCTAACAGTTTTTGACTTAAGTAATATATTTTTTAATTTATATTTTTAAAGTAATGTTAAAATAAAAAAATTTTAGACTAGTTTTTTTTCTACAAAAATATTTATTTTTTCCATCAGTGATTCCCAAACTTTTTGAGCCACCATCCCTTGGTTCCATAAACTTATACCCAATGCCTTCCAACCCATTCTCCCTTATGTGAGAAAGACTTGAAAATATTCTTAGAAAAGCTTATCTATGAACCTCACACTTTGCATCCTTACCATATACACCCATACCTCGCTATACGGCCGCTCTTTATACGGCATTTCTCTATAACGGCCCTCTTCGATTAAGGCACGTTTTCGATTTACGGCCTAAAATGTTTCGCTATAACGGCAAAAAAAACTTTTTTTTGATGTCGATATATCTACATGTTGCCAATCTTGCGCAAGAGCAATCTCGATGCACACTCTTTTCTATTTCCTCTTGTTTACGAGCGTTATTCAGTGTGTGCTCATAAAGCGGCTGGTTTAGACTTGTCTGTGAGTGTTTTATGTACATATTTATTACTGAAGAACGAAATAGACAAGAAGGCAAGACAAACAACGGTGGACAATTTTTTAAGCCAGGTCCATCCTTACCAGCGAAAAATGATGACGACAGTGATCTGCAGGTTACCATTTCTTCATCGTCTTTAGATTAAAGCCATTTTAAAAAAATTATGTATGTAAACATACACATATTTTATGTAACATGAAGTTGTTTCATTTTTGTTTATAGATTATTGTTGGTTTTTGGAGTCTGTTATTATTTTATGTACAAATGTATGTAGTTCTTATGTATGTATTTTTGATTTAAATGAAATAAAAAGGTAAAATGCATTTTGAATGATAAACCATGTTACATATTTAATAAATTTGGAACCGATCCCATTGAATTTGTATGAATTTGTATTAGAATAATTGATTCCTTATACGGCTTTTCGCTTTGCGGCCAAGTTTCGTGGAACGTATCTAGGCCGTAAAGCGAGGTATGGGTGTATTTCTCTCAACATCTGTCAACCATTAAATGCAATGTTTCTTCTTAGCCATTTTAATGAAGGAAGGGAAAGTTTATCAGTGACCCCAACCCTTGTCTATGACTACTGTTCGGTCAGGACCCTACCGCCCTTGCTTCTTTTTGCCCCCTAGATTTAATCACCACCCACAAAGGGAGAATAGTACCAACTACTGATTTACATTGACAGAATTAATTTTGCAAAAGCATATTGTAGAAAATAATACAATAAAAGTTTTTTAATGAACAACATTGAATTTATTATTTCAAAGCACTTAATAAGATAAATCTAATTAACTTTAAATTTTAGAAAAAATTAAGCAAAGTATAAATACAAAAATCTTCAACTTAAATCATTATTTAAGTTAATTGAAAAAAGAGATTAATTATGACAAGTTAATTTTAAAGCCATCTTTTTTTGTGTGTCCCAAAAGAAGGTAACCATTTGAAGTAGTTTCCACTGGACCTCTGGACTTTAAGAAATTAAATATTTGATAAGATAATTATAAAATGAAGAATTTAAGTCATCTTCTGTCAAATATGATTTAAAAACAAAAACCTCTAATTTTTTTAACATTTCACATTAGTAGTAGTAATTACTTTAAAAGATTCAACACCTTATAGTGTGCTACGTAAATTTATTATTTAAATTAAATGGTTTTATAATAGTAGAGACAATTTTCTGTATAAGACATAATACATCAAATTAAATATTGATCCTTTGCTTTTAAAAATAATTTGATTTATACATTTAAAACTCAAGTGGAATTTTTCTGTAAACAAGAATAACAAATGAGAAAAATTTACATGCATGAAAATTCACATTTCTATTTTAATACAATAAAAAAACACACTGCAAGTATTTCATTTTCAAAAAACTATAAATTGTCAATGTTAAAAATAATAATTTATTTTTTAATATTTAATTTTTCATCTTAGAAGACAAAATTATATAGTTAATAAAAAAAATTCTTATATTCTTGAATACATGAAATATAAAATATCCTAAATCAACATTTTAATCCAAACAATTTTTTAAAACTTCATACACAGAAATTGAAATGTCTTCAAAATAACAGTTTCAATTTATTAAATAATTTCAATAATTTTGTTATTAAAATTTTAGAAAGACTAAAGTCTGTTATACACGTTATGGAAATCCTTTGAGGATTAACCGTGATTTTTTTCTATCTATCCACCTTTAAATAAAAATAATTCTTTATACGTTGGGAAATATTTTAATAAGTTTTGTAAATTACTATGTTCGATCCAGCCAGTTATATCTGATTTTTTTTCATCTGTTAAGTACATCCTTTGAGGATTTCCGTAACGTGTATAACAGCCTTAAGAGGGACTTCAATTGTCAAAACATTGATACTTTTCACAAATTTTTGGTGTCATTTTAAACTTAAAAGAGAAACTTATTTCAAGATTTAGCAATTACAACTTAATAAAATGAAATACATTTTATGTTTGTAACTTCATTATTGTATATATCAATATAATTACAATTTGTTAAAAAGATAAGAGAACACCACCATAAACTATGTTAACAAACTATTTTTTTGTTATATTTACATGACTAATCTACTTATTCAAATAAATAATCTATACTTTTCACTAAAAATTTCATAATTTTAGGCTTACTTGTGTTTTAACATCCTTTCCAATTGTTTCACTAAGTGTTAAAAATGTCTTTAATGGTCCAGAGAGAATCTGATCATATGCTATTACTGATGGTGCTAAAATAGCTATAAATTAGATAATTTAACAAATTATTAAATAAAATATTCCAACTTATTCATAAGAGCATGAAACATATCTTCCATTAAATTTCTTCCCAGCAAATAAAAATGACAGAAATGCAAATATATTTGTTTTCATAAGTTATATAATAAAAAAGTTCTTACCTCCTCCATCTCCTCCTACTGATGGATTATTTTGTTTGCTTACTATTTGTTCTAATCTGCATGTAACTGTTTCTAGCCGATTAACTAGATTTGTTATATCTGTAGTTGACATGACTGATGACTTAGAGTGACCTATAAAAATTAACAATATTAAATTAATTATACCAAATAAATCTTAAGTTTTTCACTTCTTCGTAAATTTGATTATTATATAATTAAAAAACCAATTAACAACTAAGATAAGGAATGAATTATTAATGCTCAAAATGCAAGAAAAGGATTATCTTGCATTACACTGATTTATGTAAACTAAATCAGTGTATCAGTCTTTCATATAAAAAATTTTAAGTATAATGTTAACAGAAAATATTAATAATGATTATACTTTGTTCAAGTTACTCTAAGCACTTGTTCAATTGAAGGCAAAAATAATACTAAGATATATTTTTTAAAGGCCAGTTTTTAAAACCATGGCAGGGTCAAATTTTGTTTCCAGTCCTACCTGTGAAGATATATGATTAAGTCAAGAGAACTGGATGCATTTGTAAGGGATGCCTTCATCATCTCAGGCACGAGATGGAGCAAATTCAGGAAAACCTTTGTGTAGACATCAAAAGTCTACAGTCAAAGCAAGTCAAGAACTTTGTCTTCTAAAAAAAAAAGAAGAAACAGAAATGTTGCAGAAGCATCTGAAAATGTACCCACATTGATTGCAGACTTGCTTACATCATGTAAAGACAGATATATTTGTTTGCAGTTCTATGAGTTGCTGTAAGAGCTCATGAAAGATAACAGGTTCATAGAAGAGTTACAGTTCACTACTATTATCATATCCAAGGATACTGAAAAAACAATTTCCACATGAATAAATTTGTCTTGATGCTGCTGCTGATGAGCAACTTTTAATCTTTTAAGCCTTCCAAACCTTACTCTGACTTTTTGTGGAAATGTTTACACTATTCCCTTCCTGAGAATTTGCCTGACTTGGAGAATTACAGTATAGAAGCAATTGAAACCAGTGATGCAATACTCACTGAAGCATATGCTTCAGTAGGAAGAACTTGAAACTCACATTAATATTTCAGAGTGACAAAGGAGCTCATACTGAGCATCTGTGAGCTTGTCAGGCAAACTCTCTCAATTGTAATTTGTATGCATACATAAACATCAGGGCTGCAGAGTCAGTAAAAAAAACACTCGACTCTGACTCCTGATAAGTTTAGTAGGTCAACTCTGACTCCAGCAAAATTAAATACAAAGTCATTTTATGGGGACAGAGATGCTCATAGGGGTACCCTACTCTGAACTCTGAAAGGAGCCTGGAGCATTTACCCAAATATTTTTATAGTTAGTATTTTTAATATTTAACTTACATTAATATTTATTTGTATAAAAAAAGTAATTTTTAACAAATATTTAATGAGAGGAGAAAGGGGAGCAATAAAATTTTACATCTACATATATTCTACAGTATTTTAACTTCAATTTCACACTTCCAGAAGAGTTAGTCCAACTAAAAAGTGTGTGGTCATGCTAGCTACTTCAGCATCTTGTTCAGAAAAGAATAATAAATTTTCTTTCATTTAAATAAAAAACTAAAGTTTAAATTGTGAGAGTCAGAGTTGACACAGTTTTTTCTGATTCCTACTCCTCTGGCCAGAAATTCCTTCTGACTCCAACTCCACAGCCCTGATACATATAAAGTAATCTTGTGTTAAACCTATACCAAAAAGCTTGTTAAAATTATTCAGTTCTTTTTGATTAGTGCTTATTAATAATCAAATTTAGAAAAATCAAGATATTGACCCAGATTGAAATCCCTAAATAATATGAAATCCTAAAATAATACTGTTATTTTGAAGTGTTATTTTAGGATTTCTTCTATTTTTAAGAACTTTAACTACATTGTTCTGCAACTTTTATTCATATTAGTTTACAATATCATATGGTTTAAATTAAGTATTAAATTAAAATCAATCTTTTTAAATCCAAGAAAAAAATTTCTGAACAGAAACTTGAATGATAAAGTTCAGTATTTGCAGATTTAAATTTAAAGGTTATAATATCTATGCAAAAAATATTTCTATGAGGTCAAGCATTAATAATGATAGCAGAACTGATTATAATTGTGACAGAAGCAAAATACTAAAAAACAATTATATCTAATTTACAATATAATATCGTAAACATAATGTATTAATTGTTTAGTTTAACAAAGAAATCAATAAATTTACTAAATTTAAATTTAATAGATAAAAATAGAAATACAACTATCAAATGAAGTAAGTATTGATTATTTAGACATCACTAAAAATAAAGTCAATGCCAAAGTTTTGAAAAAGGTTTTAGAAATCCTTTAAAAGAACATCTACATAATATTCTATCCACAGAATAAATTATATTAATCCTGAAATTCTAACTTTATTTTCCCACTTTGGTTAGAGCATCAGTCATCCTCATTGTTCCTGTAAGATTCAATTATCTGTTTTTCATGTGCATTAGATTGTATATGCTTTTCATTAAAGTTTGTTAATAAATAATATTTCTTTGTAAATAATATTAAAAGATTTGTAATATTTCTTTAATGAAAACTATTTTTTTCAAATTTATATGTACAATGTGTGAAAATTAAATAAATTTTATATAAATTCCACTTTTTATTATATTTTCCTGTTTAAAAGGTTTGTTTTGGATGGAAACTTTGCTTGAGGTTGTGGATCTCAAACAGATTACCCATAAATACATATATTTCAATGTATGCTAGAACAAAACAGATGCTATAACGAATGAGGTTCTAGAACCAATTACAGTCATTCTTGAATACCTGATTGTATTCACTTACAAATTTGTGTCATAATACAGCATCTCGGTTAATTGGGGTTATAATTAGAGTTTTACTATATACAAATTCAGCATAGTATAAATAGATTGCTCCAAATGAATGACAAAATATAAGCAATTATTTATTGAATTTATTGAACTTAGTAAATATTATATTAAAACTATATATTCATTCTTTTCATGACTTACATATCTAACTTACCAGATTTTGACTTAATTTACAAGAGAAATAGAGTTGGCCTCCTCCTGATTTCACTGAGTTTGATGTATATCTTAATACTATCCTCCCAGTAATCCATGGTAAACTATTTGATGCAATTCTCAAGCAGTCACAAAAAAAATATGAGTTTAAACTTTTCTGTGTTCTTTATATACTGTGCTAAATCAACAAAGTGTAAGATATAGCATGACTAAGTGGATAAGGTACTCAACTACTGTCACATCTTGCAGATTTGACTCAAAATTTTTTAACAGAAAAATTAGTATTTTGTAATTATAACATTTGCTACAAAATAAAAAAATTTCAAGTTATTCTCTACATTTGCCACAATTTTTTTATTTCTATGCATTTTATTATATCAGCAATGAATATATTGATTACACACAAGTTGAGTGTCACATGATATAAACTTGTTCAAAACATTATCACACTAAATAAACGTGTGTGTACCATATAACTCACTCAACTTGCTTAACCCACTTAACCTACACCACCGCTGACACTGTTAATACACAATAGTTAAAGAACAGAAAACTTTAAAGCAACTTTCTCATGAATGCTTGAGACAAGTTGAGAGGAATGCATCAAGTGGCTTTACCATACATTACACAAATGTATTAGGTATAAATAAAATATTTCTGACATTCTTAACAGAAATAGTTTGTCAAAGGTTTCTGATATCTGACTTTCTTCATTTAATAAGATGCAAGCCAAGCTTGTAGCCAATCAGAGGAAAGCAGCATTAATTACAACTATGTACTGTATAACAAAAGATGTTTCTCAACTACAAATTTATGCTATCAAAATGTAGTTGCCAAGCTTTGAATTTGTAACTGATACTTCAGTCTGTAATTTGAGAGAGGTTTTGGGAGAAAATTATTTGAGATAAACATGGAAAATATATTGAATTTAGGATGAAAATACAGCAGACAAAAAATAAATTTTGAGATAAAAGGTTTGAGATAGGGTTCAATTTTATATCAAAGTTGTAAAATTAGAGAGGATATGGTATTCTCTGGTAGTCCTCTTGTTAGTGAAAAAATAAAAATTTATGGTTAAATATAGAATATAGTATCTTTATATAGTACAAACTAAAATCTATGTTTATTAGTATAAATTAAATTTACAGAAAATAGCTATATATATATATATACACACACACACACACACACACGCATATCTTCACATTTTAAAATTTTAATTGTTGTTAATAATACCCATGACCCACCACACTTATGTTTATAAGCATATTGACAAAATGCATAAGTTTTTACTATTAATTATACTTTATTACTATGGCAATAATGACATCATTTTACTTTAATTATTACTTATTTATAAATTATCATTGATTATTGTTAGTAAATCTTATCTTAGTCTAATGACAATCTTTATACTAAGTCTAATCTTGACTAGCCTTTTCTTTTATTCAAATTTCATATAAAGTCACTAATCACCAAAATTATAATTTTTATTTTTAAGAAAATCATTTTAATGATTTATTTGAAAAATTCTTTAAGAGTTATCTATATTTCAATATTACATTTTAAAATGGATAAATAAATAAAAAGCTATCAAGAACAATTACAGAGAACTATCAAATTCAAATGAGAAATTAGCAACAGTTAAATTACATATTACTCATTTTTAGTTTTTAGGTATTACAGAAACTAAATACAAATTTAAATCATCAAAAAATGTTTTTCCTGTCTTATGGAACAGAATAATTTTAAAGTGTAATTTATATTGTAAGCTGTCAAAATATCAATTTTCAAACAAATCTATAGAGTAATAGTAGAGGATGATATTAAACAATAATTAAGTTCAGTTAGAAAGATAAGACAAAATAAATAACTAAAAGGATGAAGAGAAAAGTTGGATAGCAGTTCACCTAATTGGAATTAATTTAGTCAAATTAATAGATATTTCTGAAAAATTAGCCAAAAAAACTTTGATATTTCCTCAAGTTTAAATTTCTAATTAAGACTCAAATTACAAGTGACATTTTGTCTAATGAAAATAGCACAAAATAAAACTAAAGAAATTAAACTATCATATAAATTGTTATGAA